AGTGCCGTACCCGCCGCCACCATAACCGCCGCCGTAACCACCGCCGGAGCCGAAGCTCCCAGGGCTGCCGTACGGGGGACTATAACCGACACCGCCGTACGGTGCCCCGACGGCAGCGGCGCTGTTCATAACGGGAACTTGGCCCACCGCCGCGGCTGGCGGCGGCGGAGGCATGCCGTACATCCCTGCCGGTCCCGGTACGATGCTGTTAGCGACGCCGCCGTACGGCGCAGTGTACGGCAGGCCAAGTCCGCCGCCACCGCCACCGTAAGCAGCGGCCGCCGCCGCTGCTGAGTGCGCAGCAAGGCCGCCGTACGGCACCGCCGGCGTCGCCATTCCACCGACACCGACGCCTCCAACCGTCGGGTTGTGACCGATGCTGGCGGCGGCTGGCAGCGTCGGCGCCGCGCCGGCGGCGGCAGCGAGGGCGCTGCCTACGCCGTTAGCGGCGGCGTCGCCAGGCACAGCGCCGCCGCCGACGGATTGTACGGCACGTGTGGTTGTCGTACCTAGGCTGGTGGCGTCATCCTGCGGCAGTACAGCCCAGCCGGCGGCCTCCCCCAGGGCTCGTACGGCAGTCGCCGCCGCCGCCAGTACGGCACGCGGCGGCGCCAGCACGCCTCGTACGACAAGGCTCGCCGCTTTGGCGGCGGCGGCGAGGACCCAGCGGAGCGCTCGGAGCAGCGCCGTCAGCGCCCAGAGCACGAAGCGGAAGGGCGCGGTGAGGATACGGAAGGGCGTCAGCGGGGATACGGTAGCGGAGGCGGCGGGTGAAGCAGGTGAAGCAGGAGGGGGGTTCATGAGGTCCACCCCAGTCTCCGCCACGACGGCCGGAACCGCAGGAGCCGCAGGCATGGGTGCCACGGGTGGAGGTTGCAGGACCGCTGGCGGCGGCGGCGGCGGTGGCGGCGGCGGTGGCATTGGCGGCGATGGTAGCGGGGCGGCGGCGGCTGGCCCTGCCGCGGCGGGGATGCCGCCCGGAGCGGCGCCCGCAGCATCCATCATGTGGGTGGCGGTGGTGGGAGGAGGAGGAGGAGGTTGCATGCCGGTAGCAGACACTGTTGCTGGCACAGCTGCTGCTGGTGTTGCTGCGTGCTCCGGCGGTGGTGCGGGAGCTGAGGTGCGGGTCGTTTCATGTCGCCAGTCGCCTCCTGGGTACTGCTCCGGGTGCTCCTGCTGCTGCCCCTGCTGCTGCTGCTGCTGCTGCTGCTGCTGCAAGGCAGTCGCAGGCACCTGCGCCTCGCTTGCTGTGGTGCTGCCCCACTCGGCGGCCCCGCCAGGCTGCTGCTGCTGCCCCTGCTGCTGCCCCTGCTGCTGCCCTTGTTGCTGCTGGTCCGCCGCCGCCGTTGCCACTGCCCCTTCAGAGCCCCATTCCTCTTCCTCCTGCTCCCCGCCCGCTACGGCCCTGCCTCCCCACTCCTCCTCCTCCACCCCCGCCACCACCACTCCTGCACCCTCCCGCCTGCCCTCCCCGGCATTCGCTGCTCCCTGCGTTCCAGCTGCTGCTGCTGTATCGGTATGCCCACTCGCTAGCAGCTGGTCATACGGCGGATGGTGACCGGCAGTGACGCCACCACCCTCGCCCTCACCCGCAACCGCACCCCCACCCTCATTTGCTGCTGCTGCTGCGGTGGGGATGGAGGAGGTAGGGGTGGAGGTGGGGGAGGAGGCCGCATGCACCACCGCCTGCGCCAGCTCATTGTTGCCGCCCCAGCTGGCCTTGCTGCTGCCGCTGCTGCCGCTGCTGCCGTTCCCCGCCTCCCCTGCCTCCCCTGCCTCCCCTCCAGCTGCCTCCCCTCCAGCCGCCTCCGCCTCCTCCCCTGCTGTGCCTTCTGGGACAAAGGGCGACTCGCCCCCTGCACTGCCGCCACTGCCACCACTCCGGACCAACTCCCCCTCCTCAGCCGCAGCCATCTCCGCCGTGTCCGACAACAGCAAGTCGTAAGGGGCATGAGGACCGGAGCCGGGGCCGGGGCCGGCAGCAGCTTCCTCCGAGCCGCCATCAACAGCTTGCCCCTGCTGCTGGGCCCCTGCCGCCGCACCCGCCACAACCTCGCCGTCCTCACGACCTGCCAACTGCCCCTCACGTCCCGGCCCATGCTGCCACTGTCCATGCTCCTCACCCTGCCCCTGGTCTTCCTCCTGCGCCTGCACGCCATGCAGGTCTGCACTCCAACCCAACATCTCCGCCGTCACCGGTACCTCCTCCCTGCGCTCCTGCTGCTGCTGCCGCCCCTCCTCCTCCTCTGCATCCTCCTCCTCCTCCCGAATCCCTCCCCCAGCCCCTCCCTCACCCTCACCCTCAGCCTCACCCTCAGCCTCACCCTCAGCCTCAGCCTGCATGGCTGCCTCCGGGGCTCCCATGCGGCCCTCAACCGGTGCGCCATGCTCGCCACCCTCCCCACCAACCAGTGGCCCACCCCCTTCCTCCTCCTTCTCCACCTCGGCCTCCGCTGTTGCAGCAGCCGCAGACCTGCCCCCCTCTCCAGTTCCGCTCCCGGTTGTGTCCCTGCCGGCAACTGCCTCCTCAGCTGTGACGGCGTAGCCCCTGGCTACTCCCTCCTGATGCTCCTGCTGCTGCTGCTCCTCCCCCTGCTCCTCCTCCCCCTGCTGTTGCTGCTGCAGCCGCACGGCCTCCTCCTCCGCTTCATTACTGGCTGCCTCGTGCGGCTGCTCGTGTTGGTCTCCTGGGTAGTAGCCAGCGTTATGCCCAGCCCAGTGGGCCAGGAAGTGCGACGCTGCGCTATCCGCAGCCGACGCCGTTGCCTCTGATACCGTCCGCTGCACACCCGTGGTTGCCGTACGCACTCCGCCGTACAGCGCGCTTGCGGCGTCGCCGGCAGCGTCGCTCAGCTCCTCCGCGGCCCGACCTGACACGTCAGCGGCGGCGCCAACCGCCTCCGCCGCGCTGTCAACTGTCGTACCGATGCCATGCAGGGTTCCGCCGACGGCCTCCTGCCCCGCGGCGTGCAACACATGACCCGCCTCCGCCACCCGGTGGGACACGGCGTCCGCGGCGGCCACGGCGCCGTCAGCCGCCTCCGACCCGGTGTCGACGGCGGCGCCTACGCCGTGCAAGGTCCTGCCGACGGCTCCATCCGCTAGACCATGCAAGGCGTCGCCCGCCGCCGCTGCCGCCGCCGCCACCCGGTGCGAACCCGCCGCGGCGACGTCAGCCGCCGCCTCCGCCGCGCTGTCGACTGCCGTACCAGTGCCGTGCAGCGCCCCAACAACACGACCCGCCGAGCCCTGGGCTAAGTTGCCCGCCTCCGCCGCTGCCTCCGTCGCCGCCTCCGCCGCCGTACGCGAAACGGCGGCGACGTCGCTGGCGGCCTCCGCCGCCGTGTCAGCTGCCGTACCAATACCGTTCAACGCCCCGCCAACGCCCTGGCCCACGACCTCCCGCGCCACGTCGCCTGCCTCCGCCACCGCCTCCGTCACCGCCATCTCATGGCCTTGATGCAAGACTCCGCCGCCGCCGCCGCCGGCCGCGTCGCTCTCCTCTCCTGTCGCCTCCGTCGCTTCCGCTGCTGCCGCCTCCGCTCCCTCCTGTGACGTCACCGCCGCCGTTGGCATGACCCCAAGAGGCGCCTCCGCCGCCGTCACGCCATGCGGCCGCAGCACCTCCTCCCTCAGAGCTCGGGCGGCGGCAGCGGCAGCGGCCTGCAGCACAGCCCGCAGCGGCTCCTCCCCCCCATCTCCCATTGAGCCCTCCGTAGCAGCACCCGCCCTGCCCTCGTGACCATAACTGATGTCCTCGACGTTTGCGTTATCCGCCCTAAGCTCCGCCTCCTCCGCCTCCTCAGACCCCTCAGGTACGGCAAACGTGCTGCTGGTGTCGGCCCCCGGCTCCACTGTTGCAGCAGCTGGGCTGGCACCTGGGCTACTGCCATGTAGCAACATGATGTCATCATCGGCAGGTGCAGCTACTGCTGCTGCCGCAGCGGGCTCCGAAGCCGCGTCAGGCGCTGCCGCTGTTCCTCCCACCGTCTCCCCGTCTTCGTGAGCAACCGCGGGTCCCCCTTGCGCGGCTGCTTCAGCCTCCGCTTCTTCCTCCGTCAAACCCACAGCCGCAGCAGCAGCAGGTGTCGTACGTGGCGGTGCGAGGGCGGCCGAGGTGCCGCTGCCGGTGTCGGTGTCCGTGTCGGAGGCCGCGCCCAGGGTCGCCTCCGCATCAGTGCTACCATCTATGGGGTCGCTAGGGGCCGAGGAGGCTGCTGCTACTCCTGCTTCTGCTTCTGCTGCTGCGTCAGTAATGCCCGGTGGCGGTGGGGCCCTGGAGGCGTTGGGCTGCTGCTGCTGCTGCAGCTTAGCGTTGCGCTTTCGGGATTTGCGGGTCGATGGCGGCTTTGTAGAGGGGGAGGCGGAAGAGGCAGAGCGCGACCCACGTGAAGCGTTGCTAGTAGGCTCAGCTACGGATGTTGGACTTGTTGGCTTTCCTGCTGTCATTGATGGTTGTGCTGCGGGCGGTGCTGTGGGCTCCTGCGGGAGATCTGAAGGCCGGGCCGGCAAACGGTCCGTCACAACCGCATGGTCATGATGCTGAGAAGAAGGAGGAGTAGAAGAAGAAGGAGAATTAGGATATGAGGTTATGCTGCCTTCCGCGTCATCCATTGAGCGAGCCGGCAGGTGAAGGAATCGGCCGACCAAAGCCCTTTTCCGAAACAGCAAGCCGGCACCGGGCCAGGCCAGCTTCGCGTGGTGCTGAGGCAGCGCTAGAGGATGCGACAGTATCACCCGAGGATAAGGAAAAGCTGAGCAGGAGCTGCCAAGGGTGGCGGAGCCCTGCGCTCGGCACTCCATGGTGACCAGCTGATGAGTCCCGCGGGTCTTTGGTAGCTTCTAGAAAATTGTAACATACAAAAACAGCTATGCGTCAATAAGCGCTAAACTGTTTTTGTTTTGTTCCGAAGAGGCCATTGTTGCGGTTCACCTGTGTCCAATGATGGCGCACTTAATCGTATGACTCTGCCGACCGGTGGACGGGCGTTTGCCCACCCATAGCGGTAACTGCATAATGCATTATAAATGATACTTCACTGCCTTCCTTTTCGCATAAGTTATAGGCTTATAGAAACATTTAACCAAACATGGAACGACCCTCGCTGTTGTCCGCAACACAGCGCGCACTCCTAATGCTTTTAGCAGCTACTGGTATGGCAGCGTATGGACTCTTAGGGATATTCACAAAACCACTGCTATCTCGCATCCGTCGGCTGCCTGGTCGGCTACGTCCTTCAAAAGCTTCGCAAGAAGGGTTAGTTACTTCTGTTAACACACACCACCTGAAGCTATGACCTGACACACGGAATTCACCTAATTGTTATCCAGGCGCGGAACACCGCTGGGCCATATCGTCGCTCGATGCGAGGCGCGTTGGCTTCTAGAAGACCTGCAGGTATCTGTATCTAACATTTATCCTGAACACGCTGCAAAGTAGTCACTGTCGACTGGACTGTTGCGCACCGCTGCCCGTCAGATGGCACTACAAGGCGACCCTGCAGCCATGCGGCGTGTGGGGGACTTGTTGACTGCCGGTTGCGGAGTACGACAGCACAGCCAGCAGGAAGCGGCCGCCTGGGCCCGACACGCTGTGTAAGTGGGCGCAGGCTGGTGTTCCGACGGGGCTACTGGGGGGTAAAAAGAAGAAAAACTGACGGGGCTACTGGGGGGGTGGAGTGGGGCGAAGGGGGTAGAAGAGGGTTTACTGCCCCCCCGGACGCCAATCGCAGCAAGGCGAGCAAAACCAACAGCACTGTATCACTCTGCGCGCGGCACCACCCCCAAAATTAACTCCCTGCCACGTTTTCCCTGTTGTACGCCCCACGCCGTCTCCCAAACCTCTCCACCAGGGCCCTCCAAAACTATCAGGAGCCGCCTCAGCCACGTCCTTCATCAGCAGCTGCTGCTGCCGGCGCCAGGGAGCAGCAGCAGCAGCCCCTGCAGGGGCCCCTGGCGGGGGGCATCAAGCCCTGCATCGGCAGCATTGCCAACATCGGCAGCAGTCGCAGTAGCCATGTTCTAAACGGCGGTTGTGGCGGTGGCGGCAGTAGCAGCACGTATGACAGCGAAGAGGAGGAGCCCTCATCGGAAGCTGAGCAGGACGGCGAGGAGGAGGAAGGAGGAGAGCTAGGGTTCAGGGTTCTGGCAGCGGGGGCAGCAGCGGCGGGGGGCCGGGGCTGCAGCGGGCGGAAGGGGCAGGGGGTGGGGCGCTCCCTGTCATGGAGTGAACGCAGCACGAAGGGGATGTTGTCACCGTCTCCCTCGTCGGCGGTGATGGCCGTATCGCAGTCGTACAAGGAGTGTACGATGGAAAGCGCTGGTGCTGCGAAGGCGGCGGGAGCTCAGGTGGAAGCAGGAGCAGCTGCAGCTGTAGCGCAAATGAATGTTGATGAGGGGGAAGCTGTCATACAAGATGTCGTACAGGTTGGAGTCGTACGGCGGCCCGCTGCGCTCCTGCGTAGGCCGCTGTTGCTGCGGCGGCTTTCGTTGGACCAGGCGGCTACCTGGTTGTCGTAGAGAGGAGTGCTGCAGCTCTCGTTAAGCAGCAGGTTAGGTGCTTGCTCCCTTTAGGTGATTGCTCAATAGGTGTTTCCACTTTTGGTGTTTCCACTTTTAACTCAACCTAACCGAACCAGGGTGGTGCCGTCGTTATTAAAGACCAAAAGTTAGAGGGATGAAAGCGCCCTGGGAAGTGAAGTGAGCTATTTGGTGATCAAGAGTGCATCAATGCGTGATACCTCCTGATTTTGATCTAGGTCTGTGGAAGGACCTTCGAGCAATGGAACTGCCGTTGCGGTGTGCCGGGTAGCAAAACGCGCGAGGACAACTTGAGCGAGCACGAACGAACGAATGACGGACTTGGAGCTACCGCCGCAGCGGAGGCAGAGAAGTAGCCGCATTGTAGCGTAGATACCGGCTTTGCGGGATGGACTGAAGTGGTCAAGGGCTGAAGCTAGTACTCCGTAATATGCGGGAAAGGAGCAGGCTGTTCAGGTCGGCCGTGCTGCTCCCCTGCCTCGGGGCATACCTGTGTGGTTGGGGTCAGGCGCTGCAGGGCTCAGTTGCTCCGGAACCCTAGTTGGCAGTAGGGGACCTCGGCAGAGACACACTTGCACAGGTCCGGGGCTGACCCAATCTGACCTAGTTCAGGAAGGAGGGATTGGCTGTCGCGACGTTGTTACGAAGGGACATGCCTGCATCTCTCTCCTCCCTCCCCGCTAACCTGTGTACAGTTTTGTAGTTACACGGCTCAGCTGTGCAACCCACGCGAGCGGCGGTGCGGGGCTCCCGCCACCCCCATGCCGTACAACTGCATGAGGGCAACGCCGTACGAGCACCACGAGGGCTTGCAAGCGACACACTACTTCAATTACAAGGCGTAACCCAACCCCGCGCCCCACGCACAGCGGCTGCATGTCCGTGTCGCAAAGCGTACACGGCACCCCCTCCAGGCTCACGTTTTGGGAGCACCTCGCAGTTTCCAGTTGCGCGCGCTTTATCCTTTCTCTTGCCGCTGTCACGCAGTAACCAGTGCCATGCACGCGCATACTTCGTGCGGTTTCCATTTCCCCAGGGTCCCTCAGGTTGGCTGTTACCGCACCCACCTTCACGCTCCTGCAGCTCAGCTGCTGCGGACCGGAAGAAGAACAAGACGGAGGCAGGGCTGCCGGCCAGTACTGTACTTCACACCTCCACTGCGCTCCCACCCATGCACCCCATGCATCATAACGCACGCACTACTTTACACCACACTACCAGTATCACCTCCCCCCCCAAAAAACGGTATCAGTATCCGCAAGTTCACAGCCCTCCAGGTGCTGAGAAGCAGCCGCCCCGACAACCCCCCTCCGCTCCAACTCCACGACGCCCGATCGCTTTCCCCCTCCCTGACCCTTGCTTGCGTCCCGGCTTCTCCCAGCTGCACTGCCCCCCCCACTGCCCTCACACCCCACCCCACCACCCCTCCTCTCCCATGCGTCCCATCCCAACCGATCACGGCGCTGTATGCCTGTATCACAGCATTGTGAAGTGCGCCTTGAGCTGCTTGAGCAGCTCGTGCGACTCGGTGTGCTCGGGGTAGGCTTCCAGCGCCTGGTTGACCAGCTGGAAGCTGACCTGGAAGTCGCCCGCCTTGTAGGCCAGCAGCGCGCCGTTGAAGAACACCTCGAACACGTGGCCGCCCTCGCGGGCCCCGGAGCTGGGGGGGGAGGGGGGGGAAGGGGAGGGGAACATATAAGTGAGAAGTGCAGCAACTTGACTCCAATCCCATATAGGGGAGGGGAGGGGCAGTGGGCTGGTGCCGTGGCATGTACATATATGGCTTGGGGGCCGCCAGGCAAGGAGGCAGGCAGCGGCAGCAGTGGCAGCGGGCAACAAGAAGACCAAGAACAACCCCTCCAGATTCGTTTGTTCCTCCTCTCCCTTCCCCCCCTTCCCCCTCTTCCTCCCCCTCACCGGAACAGCGCCGCTGCCGACTCGTCGTTCCCCTTGCGGTACTCCAGCACCCCCAGGTTGTTGAGCGCCTCCGCGTGGTTGGGGTTCAGGCTGATGGCGATCTGGGGGGGGGCGGGAGGTATGGAGGAGGGGTAAGAGACAAACCAAATTGCAAACCAGTTGCCCCTCTGGGGGGATTGCATGCTTCCCCACCACCGCCCCTCCCACCTTTCAAGTGCCTGCTATGCCAGCACCAGATCCCCTCCTACCCCTCACCACCCTGCTCCCACCTTTCTACTCCCTCCATCCCGTCCCCCCTGCCCCCCTTACCTTGAACGCCTGGTACGCCAGCGCCAGGTCCCCAATGCCCACCGCCGTCTGCCCGATGTTGTACCAGATGTCGGGCAGCGAGGTGTCGTCAGCCAGGGACAGGGCGCGGTCGAAGCAGCCCAGACACATGTCGTACTGGGGGTGCGGGTGAGGTGAGGGGTGGAGGAGGGAGGGAGAGGGAGGGTGAGGTGAGAGGAGTTTGAAAGGGTGAAGGACAGCGCAGGCTCCGCATGGAACGCAATTCCTGTTAACATGCGTTTGCAACCCTGACGACTTCTCCCGCCTTTCCGCCCCTAAACCTACACCTCGCCCCCAACCCCACCTGCGATGCGTAGAAGCAGCAGAGCCCCAGGTTGTTCCAGAGCTCCGCGTTGGTCACCCCCATCTGCAGCAGACGACGGTAGTACCTGGGTGGGCGTGGGGATTAACAAAATCCGCATGGAATGGGGCATGGGGGGGAAGGGGGGAGTCAAAGACCATACAGGAGCATATGAAACCACAGGTTGAGGCAAAACAATGAGGATAGGAAGCGGCAGGGGGTGCGCTAGGCATCAAAGTTGGCTTCCTCCCCACCGGTACCGGTACGGCCCCCCAGTGCTTAATACTGCCCTGAACGCTCCACGGTACGGTACCTACCCACCTCCTTCACACCGCATCCCACCTCCCTCCCCCCCCACCTGAGCGCAATCTCCGGCTGGTCCGTGTAAAAGTGGTGTGCCGCCAGACACGCAATCGCCTCCACATTGCCCGCATCGTGGAACAGCACGTTCTTGTAGAAGCTCACCGCCTTCTCCGCGTCACCCAGCGCGTCGTACACGCGCGCCACCCCCAGCAGCAGGCTGGAGTCCCCCGGGTGGGCGGCCAGGGCCGAGGTGTACTGCTCCAGGGCGGTGTTGGGCTGGGGGGGGGGGAGAGGAGAAGCGGGGGAAGGAAGGGGGAGGTATTGTAAGGTATTCTCATACTAAGTATCCTCGTACTAAGTCTACTCATACGTCGAGCTAAACTGCACGCTACTCTTCTCTCATCTCCTACCATGTTTGCACCCCATGGTTTAGCCGTGTTCCATACAGCTCATTCGTCTCCTCGTTACTCCCCTACCTGCTCCCCCATCCCATTCCCACCACCTCCCCACCTCCCTACCTGGTCCATTCGCAGGTAGATCTTGCACAGCTCCAGCACGCAACTAATCATAACCGCTCCACCGTTGAGACCGTTGGCGGTTACCCCACCTCCTCCCCCTCCTCCTCCGCCTGCCCCCCCTCCTCCCCCCATGCCCCCCATGATCCCCCCCGCCAGCCCCCCTCCCCCCGCCTGCCCCTGCCCCTGCCCCAGCGCCGACTTGAACTGCCGCTCCGCATCCCGCAGCAGCCCCAGCTGGTAGTAGCACTTGCCCAGCCGGGCCTTCCACCACCAGTCCTGGCGGCATGGGGGAGGCGGGAAGGGGGGGGGGGAGAAGTACACCCCATGTGTTGAATGATAGCGGCATGGTAGCGGGGAGGGGGGAGGGGTGCGGAGGAGGAGGGCAAGGGAGGAGGAGGGCAGGAAGGGGGGGGGTGCACCAGACTCGGCTCTTCGAACACACAGAGCCACGCATGGGCAACGAGGGGCGGTTAACTCGTACAGACAAGCCATCAGCGACCCTATTCCTTCCACCCAGCCCCTCCTCCCTTACCATTGGCTTGCCCTAACAAGTAGTTTCACATGGCTTGGAGTCTCTCTGACCAACCCCTCCACCTCAAGTGCCACTGTCCAGTGGTATTTTCCCCCCTATCTTTTCCCCTCCAGTGCCTCCCCCCCTCCCCCCCTTCCTTCCTCCCCCCCACCTGGTACTCCGCCACCTGTGTTGCAATGGCGCACAGCTCCAGCGCGCGCTTCATGTTGTGCTCCGTGTAGATCAGGTAGTCGCACAGCACGCGCGCCAGCTGCGGCCGGGCAGCGTACTTGCGCAGGTCCAGCCGCTCCACGGCGATGAAGGGGCCGCCGGGCTCGGAGGCCAGGCTGGCGGTGCCCAGCCGCACGAACCTGATGGACAGGAGGAGGGAAGGGGGGAGGGGAGGAGGGAGGGGGGTCAAAGAGCATAGCGGAGGAGGAGGAGGGATAAGGAGCAAGAATGTTCGCATCGGCAGCAACCGTCGGTGAAGTGCAACACCACCCCTTCCCTCTCCTCTCAATTTCCCCTCCTCACCCCCTCACCCCCCCTCTCCCCCCCTCACCTTCCCGACGTGGTGACGGGTCGTGCGGTCCCCGGCTTGGCCCCCTTGAGCGCCTGCTGCAGGCTGGCGGTGCCCAGCCGGCCCGAGGAGGAGTTGGTGGGGCGGTTGGAGCCGGTGCCGGGGCGCGCGAACCCCGTCAGCGGCCGCCCGCTGCCGGTCATGGGGCGCACGGCCTGGCTGGGGGCGCCCTGGAGGGGGGGGGGGGAGTTATAGATGGAGGGGGGGAATTATATAAGTGAAACAACGAGTCCCAATCCCATATCCCCATATGGAGGGGGGGGGTGGAGGGAGGAAGGGAGGGGAGGGAGGGGCGCAGTCAGGGTCGGCTTGCAGCGGTGCACATGCCGCTTCTTGCAGACCGTGCTATTTGTATTACATCGTACCGCGTCCCACCCGGTCCCACCCGCACCCAGCAGCACGCAGCACCGGGGTCTCCAAGTCTGGCCCCTACCACCCACCACCCCCACCGCTGCAGCACTTCAACCAGTCCTACGTCTCGTCCAGTCCTCCAACGGTTCCTTATACCCTCACCCCCTTCCCTGGTGCCCTCGTTTCCCCCCTCCTCCCTCCGTAAGCACCCCCTTCCCACCTAGCCTCCTCCCCGCTGCCTCACGCCGCTGCCACAGCCCACTACAAGCCTACCCACCCCTCCCATGTCTCGTGGCACCCTGCCGCCTCCTACCCTCTTTATCTTTCCCCCACTACTTGCGGTTTGCTCTTTCTTCCTTACACCAGCTCCCAGGCTGCTCCGGGGCACCTCCTCTCCTCCCTCCTCCTGACCCTTGGACCCCTGTGCGGTCCCTCCTCTCCCCGCCACCCCCCCCCCCCCCATGCGACCCTCTCCCCTCCCTACCCCTGCGCCAGCTCACCGATCCCTGCGCGCTGGTGAGGGGCCGAGCCAGTGAGGTGCCGGGCCGGGGCACCTGCGCCACCTGGTGCTCGTCCATTAACACGTCAGCCACGCCCTGGGAGGAGATGGGGGAAGAGGGAGGGAGGGAGGCGAGGAGGGAGGAAGGGGTAAGGGAGGGGAGGCAGGCAGGGAGAGGAGGGAGGAGGCTACAGAGGGGTAAGGGAGAGAAGGAGACGGATGGGGAAGGGTACAGGGGTGAAGGAGGAGGAAGGGGTAGGAGACTGGTGCCCAGCGCAGAGGACAGGGAAGATGGAAGCCAGGGCGCATGGGAGGAGCTCACCGGTCGCGCTGCTTACCTCCTCCTCAATCTCCAGGTCATCAATCCAGTTCTTTAGCGTAAGTGCACGAGTCTTGAGGTACCATACAGCCTATCCAACCAGAAACCATGTGAGGAAACCAGCTGTTGGAGTCACCGTTATATCACAATCCAAGGTATACTTTTAATTGATTTGTATACGTTTGTTGTTTACGTATTACTCCACACCTGGTCGTAAGGGTTCTTCTCCAGAATTCCAGTGCATAGTTCGATGCAAGAGTCAAATTTTCTTCTCCGTAGACGGCTTTGTGCAAGCCATACGGGATTGATAGTTTGCAGCGGTTGCTGCATTGCAGCCATTTTGCAGAGCTGAAAGTGGCAGAGCGCGCGACGTTCGCGCGCCCTTCAAGCTTTCATACGGACATTGTATACTACAAAACAAGTCCTTCGAGGTAATGTGCTAAAAGTTATCTAGAAAGTAACCAGATGCTGAGGCCGGAAGGCGTAAGTCCCCATGTACACGGACGAAACTATAGGTTTGGCATTGCAGCTCTGCTACAATTACTGACAAAGAACAACGTGCATGTCCCGGATCGAGGAAAACAGCTGAAAGGTTCGGTAGTGGCCCTACCCCAGTTGCACGACAACACGCTGATGTCACATGATGAACATCAGAAGCCCGGCTTTCGTCATCGTGCATACTCTTAAGCCTTTACCACTCCTTAGTTAGCAGATACTGACCCACATTATCATAACTGCGTACACTTTCTGGCTTATTAGACGGCGCGCAAACAACTGTACACTGCCCGTTGCTGTTATACCAAGTAGCTCCCCGGTGTCTATAGACCTACTTCCTTCTATTCGCTGATAAAAGGCTGCGCATGCTTGCGGCTATGCGATACACGTAGGCAACAACAACTCGACGTGGCTATGCCGTTGACAACCCCTTGGAGTGCCGTTGGCCTGAGTAGAGGTCTTTGTCGGCTGCGGCCTGTATCTCCGCTGTTAAGGTGGGTATTGCAGTGCAAGTAGGTAACGAACTCCCATGCCCACGGGTCTTAAAGTCGGTCCCGGACAACTAAAAGTGAACAGTAGTGAACGTATTGTGTAGCCAGCGGCAAGTCCGTCAATTTTCAGGCGGAACGTGCATCTTGCGTGCGTTCTCGTCCGCCGGGTGGTTGCGCGGTCGTGGTGTCGCAGAGGTTAACAGCACAGGCTTTCGTGCAGTGGGGCTTACTTGTTTCTTCTTTTTCGCTCAAAAGAAGTACTTATTTGCATCAAGTGCAAAGTGGATACGCTTGCGGGCACCTGGGTACACAGCTGCTGTGCAAGGGGCTTCGCCCCAGAGCCGCGCAGTGCCTTTAAGCAGTCGACCCCATCGCATTGCCTCGCAGCTGTCAAACGAGAGCCTCGTCCTTCTTGGGGATAGCGCCAGCTACTTCACGACAACTCTACCGGCCATCCCGGCCCGCTTTCCTTGGCGTCGCTAGCCAACTAAAGCCACAGCAAGGTCTGCAAGCAGCCAGCAAAGGTGGGCCTGCTTTTTGCAAACCTTATCGTGTCCTTCATCGTTCGTCTGGATCGATGCGTTCGCCAATAGCAGCGGCATAAGCGTGAAAACCCGGTCATGTTGTCGACCAGAGTCCCCATCAAGATGAATAGGCTGTGTCGGAGCACCCACTGCCACCTCGCCGCTAGTTCTAGCAGTCGAGATGGCGGGTTCTTTTCCTTGCCTTTGGGGGCTTGGCTAGTCGCCGTGACTCCAGTTAGTGTCCATTCCTTGTGCTCCAACTTGTTTGGTTTGCTCGCTTAGCAGCTTCACATTTAGCAACAGCGATCTGGGCTCAGTCCGGCGCCCATAGCGCGGGCAGGTGTTGCAATGCCGAGAGCGTGCACATCCCTCCCTAGCTCCCTTTCCACTAAGCCCCCGGCTAGGTACCCTAGACACAGCACCATGAATACCAGCATGATGAAAACTAGCAGCCCTGGAAAACTAGCGCCTCCGGCAAGTCCCGGCTCCTGTCCGCCATGTCACCCATCACGAAGCCAGCACGGGACCAGAAACCACATTCAGTGTTCTGTAATAGTCCGGCTATTGATTCGCCCCAGAAGCCCGGCTGGATTCCCACCGTGTTGTGCGGCTAGCACGCCCCCACCCTCGCCATGCCATCCCCTTATTCCCTCCTCTACCGATGTGCACGCCGGCATCTTTCGCTGACAATGACCCACACGCCCGCTTCCGACCTCGCAACCCTCCCTGTGCCTCCGCCGCTCTCTCCTCGTCCCACCCCTCCGTGCACAGGCCTGCCCAAGTCGCCAGCCGCCTCCTCGCCGCTTCCCCTCCCACCGCTCCCCGTCCCAACAGCCTCCCTGGTACCCGCACCCACAGCTGCTGCAGCAGCGGGCAACCCTTCAGCCCCCGCTCCAACCTCCCCGCTTTCAGGAGCTCCTCTGTCGCCCTCTGCCCTCCCACTTGACATGATGTCAGGGCCCGGGGCAGCTGCTGCGGGGGTTGCCGCTCGGCAGCCCCTGCCTCAGCAGCAACAGCAGCAGCAGTCGGTAGTGGGAGCGGGAGCAGGAGGCGCGGGTCCCGCCTCCTCCTCCTCCCCCGCTCCCTCCCCCTCCATCATCCACCTCACGGTGGCCTCGGGGGCGGTGGTGGCGCCGGAGCTGGACTACACGGTGAGGGGAGCTGTGAGGCGGGAGGTGACGGGGGGGGCTTGGGGTGAAGCAGGAGGTGATGGAAGGGGGGTATTGGGGGGGGAGGGGCCCAGACCGGGGCCGGCGAGTGGGAGTGGTGTCGGAAAGCCCGGAGGTGGGCGTTGCCCTATGATCTCGGGGAAAGTGGGGCAGGCTCGTTGTTTATGGAGCTGCCGAATGAGAGCAGCTTGGTGGGACTGTCCTGTCAACCCGCACCAAGGCAGCACCCTGCCTGCCTCCCTGCCCCTGCCCCTCTCTCCCCCTCCCCCCCGCCATGTGTCAGGTTGTGTTGGACATGCTGCACAAGCACGCGGGCGCCCACCCGGCCGCCTCGCAGCATGGCGGGGTGGTGCTGGGGCTGAGCAGCCCCGTGGGGCCCACCGCCGCAATCGACCTGTGCATCGGGCAGGTACGCGGCTTACGAGGGAAAGCAGCAGGGGGAGGTGCGGACAGGGAATTCGGGCGGGCTTGGTTGGCTGGTGCGATGGCGTGCGATGACCTCTTGTGAGGAATGCGCGGCACTGCTGCTGCTGCTGGCGGTTGCGCACCCAATCATCCCTTTCCATTGCGCACACCCGCCCTCTGCCCCACAGCTCAACTTCACTCGCCTGCTGGCCTGCGCGCGCAACAAGCTGTGGTGGATGACCCCCGAGTGGCGCACCGCCACCTGGGCGCTGCCGCCCGAGACGCAGTTCCTGCTGGCTGAGCTGGGGCCGGAGGGGCCCTATGCGCTGCTGCTGCCGCTCATTGACGGCGACTTCAGGGCCACTCTGCGGCCGCCTGCAAAGTGAGTTGAGGCATGCAGGGAGGGAGGGATGAGGGTCGGCGGCGCGGCCGCCTTGAAGTCGGGTAGAAGGAGCCCCTAAGCCCCATCGCGGCTGAAGGAACCCCGGGACCGGGCGCTTTCGCTTTTGCCTCTCGGGGGAGGCCCGTGCTGTCGCGGCCCCTGTGTCGCAGGAGCATGTATCTCGGTCCACGTAAGGGGGGGGTAATAAACTGTACGATACGGTCATTTACTGCCCCTCCTTCCATGAGTATGCACCAACACCAAGAGTCGGTCACCATACCGGTGCCACGAGAGACACACATACCGCACCCCTACCTCTCTGCACATACACACCTGCTGCTGGTCAATCGCTCCGAGTTGCGATCCTTGTTGCATTGCATTGTAGGGTTCCTAACCCCCCACAAGAGGTGACATACTGCTCACCCTGTATCGATACTGCTGTCACGCGACTAACACAACCTGCATGTCCATGTAAGTGAGAGACGTGCCCCATGATAATGAACCCTCGCATGGAGCCCTACCTTTCCACCCCACTATGACAATATGCCTTGAATGTACCGGAAACCCAGGCCCTGTGCCGTACTGCCCTTGGCGCCTGCCCTACATATACCTTGTAACAATCCAGCTCTTTATGCCGTTAACTCCACTCGCTCACCAACCCCTTATCCTAGCGACTCCCCGCCAGCATGTTTCCGCTTCTCCTCCCTTACACCTCTCAGACCATCCTCCTCCCAAACATCACGACCACCACCGCCACCGCCAGCATGTACCTCTGCTCCTCGCTACTTCCAATCCTTCCTTCCTGCCAACCATGCGCTCCCAGCCAACCCGCTACCCCCACCACCACCAGCAGCAGCCCCAGCTCCCCCTCAGCACTGCGTCTGCTTCTGGAAGTTCTCCATGGTCAGGTTGGCGGTGAGCGCGGGGATGCAGTTGAACTTGCGCACAAAGGTCTCCACCTCCCGCGACAGCCGCCGCTGCGTGTAGCTGTTGGGAACCAGCTCCATGAGCCCCCCGCCGGTGAACCTGTGCGGAGGACACGGTAGTGGGGGGAGTTGCGGAGGGGGTGCGGAGGTGACATGAGTGCGTGGTATAATAGGGGAGAGGAGGTGAGGTGCAGCTCTCATGTAAAGCCTCTCATGTGCATCCCCACCTGAACACCAGCAGTGCTGCTGGGTCGTCCGCGTGTTGCGGCTTGAGGGTGAAGGTGGTGGGGGCGCCCGCCGCGTCCGCCGCCGCGGTGGCCTCAGCCGTCATGTCCACTCGGTAGCCGAACAGGCGGTAGCAGGCCTCCCTGGGGGGGGGGGGGTGACGAGGAGGCAGAGGGAGGGGGTGATACCTACAACAACCCCGGTGCGGGGTGGTCACTGAGATCCACAAATGACCTCTTTTCCCCCTCCCCCCTTTTTTGTCATCGCTCTTGTCATCGCTGCGAGAGCTCTTCTACCCCGAACTTCCCACCACCCATCCATCCACTCCTACCTGAACACGGTGATCCGCTCCTTGAACACCGCCTTGAGCCGGCTCATGGACTTCTCGCACTCCTCCACCTTGCGACGCAGCACCGTGATCTCAGCGTCCTTTACCGCGATGGCCACACCCGCACCCAGCGCCGGGCCAGGGATGTGCGCCGGCACCGCAGCCTCCTGCATGGGCTCGGATGATGGCTGCATGGGACCCCCTGCAAAGGATGTGGGTGACGGGGGGGCGCATGGAACGGGAGCGACAGAGCATTGATTCACAGCCATTTGCCAGTGCTAGCAACGGTGGTGGGGGCTCAATCTCACACCTGATTGCTGCTCCTGTTGTTGCTGCTGCTGACGTAACTGCTGTATGGCAGTCTCCAGCTCGGCCACCTGGTTCCGGAGCGCCTCGTTCTCCGCGGTGAGCTGCGTGACCGCCTCCTCGCGTGCCGCCTGCCGCGCCTCCACCTCGGGGTTGTGGCGCAGGTGCAGCACGCGCAGCCCGCCCGAGCGGATGAGCTCCCCGCGACCCAGTCGCTCCTGGGAAGGCGTCAGTGTGGGAAGTGTGTGACGGGTGTTTTACCGGCTGAGTCACCGGGCTCCCCTACATACTCCCTACGTAACCTTGCATAAGGACAGCAACCGTCTTTCACTACTCTCTCAGCAGTCAGCACAACAAGGTCCTCCCCCTACAGCAGCCATCATCCCGGTGCAGCAGCAACAGCAGCACCTGCAGTGTGGCCACTTCGGTCGCCAGTCCGTCCGCCTCCCGCTCCAGCGCCTTGATGCGCGCCTCAGCCGCCTCAGCCCGCGCGGTGGCGGCGCGGGCAGCCAGCGACTGCGCCTCCGCGGCTGAGGCGCTGGCTGCCACCTCGCTCTGCAGGGAGGACACCTGGGCGGGGAACCGGAGGCAAGGCGGGAGGCGCACCAGTTCTTGCCTAGGAGGAAGTAGTAGTGAAGGAGAGAAAGGAAAGAAAGTTGCATGCCCGCACCCGCTACCTGCTTCTGCAGCGCCTCGTTCAGCTGCTGCAGCTGCTCCACCGCAGCCGCCTGCTCCCCTGCCACCAGCCGCCCGCTCAGCGAGCCGGGCAGGTGCGGGCCGCCTGCCTCCCCCCCGGCACCCCTGCCTGCGGCCCTGGCTGCAGCCGTGGGGCTGGCCAGCGCCGCCCGCAGCGCGTCCCGCTCCTGCTCAATGGCGGCTGCGCGGCGGTCCGCCACCCGCTCCGCCGTGAGGGAGCGCTCCAGGCGGCTGCGCGCGTCTGCCAGCTGGGACTGCAGCTCGGCGGCGTAGGCCTCGGAGCCGCTTGCCTGGGGGGAGGAAGGGTTCCATGAGGAGGTTTGGGGGTTTTATTAACGGAAGCGGAACTGGTAAACCGGTTGAGCCTTTTGCGCTGCTTGGAAAGCGCTGGTGATGGGGGACCAGGGCAGTTGCAGGCACTGAGGTCGTACCGCGGCTCTCAGCTGCATGAGCGCCTCGTCTTGGGCCTTGGCAGCTGCGCGGAGGTCCGCCGCCTCCTCCGCCAGGGCCGCGGCAGCACGCACCGCCTCCGCTGCCTGGGTGGCCAGCGGCAGGCCGGAGGGCACCGCAAGCGCCTGCAGAGGGGGGAGGGGCATGTGTGTATGTGTTGGTAGCGGTGGCGTGTTGGGGTGTTGATAGGGGAATGAAGGGGCAGTCCTGACCTTGCGTACGGCGGCCCAGGCGCTCTGCAGCACCTCGGGCAGCTCCGCCTCCACCTCCGGACCGCTGCTCTGCTGCCTCCCCGCTGCTGCTGAGGCTGCTGCTAGGGACCCAGCTCCTCCACCGCCGCGCGCTGTGCCTGCCAAAGACCCCTGCGGCTGTAGTGCCTGCAGCGGCCGCTGCCCCCCCGCTGCCGCGGCCGCTCTCTCGGCCGCTGCCGCCATCGCTGCCGCCTGCGCCGCCGCCAGCGCCTCCCTCGCCCCCCGCAGCTCCTCCTCCAGCAGCTGCAGCCGCACGTGCGCGGCGCTGCTGCGGAGCCCCGCCGCCTCCGCCTCGGCGCGAGCGGCGCGCTGGCGGGTCGCCTCCAGCTCGGCCTTGAGGTTGGAGCCCTGGGAGCGAACCTCCTCCAGCTGCGACTGAGCCACCTGTGGGGGCGGGCGGGCAGTTAGTAGGGCAGCAGAAGTCTATATAGAGAGTGCAAACGGGTGATGATTTTTACAAAGATCCTTCTTCCTCTTGGGCGCTGGGAGGTGTTCACGGAAAACGCCTTTCCGGCAGCACCCTAGCGATCAGCTGTCGGTGCACCTTGAGTATCTCCTGCTCCGCCTCCACGCGCCGCTGCGCCACCCGCTCCGCCAGCTCGGCCCGCTGCACCGCCACCTTGGCCTCCGCGCGCACCGCCTCCAGCTCGGCGCGCAGCTTGGCGCACCCCGCTTGCTCCTCGCCCATCAGCCGCGCGTGCTCGGCGCGCTGCTCGGCTAGCAGAGACTCCAGGGAGCTCAGCCGCTGGGCGGAGACAGCCTTTTGGGGGGGATTTACATGGGGGGAAAGGGAAGGGTGCGGGTTAGGAGGACAGAAGCGTAGGGCGGTGAGTATGGGGTTATAGCAGCGGCGGGTATGTAAGGTACCTCTCGTTGCCGTGCGGCTGCCAGGTCTTGCTCCAGTAGGAGGGCCTTGTGCAGCTGCTCGTCCAGCTGCCGGTTGAGGTGCTGCAGGGCGCTGGAGGTAGAGGGCGGTGGAGCGGGGGCCGCGGCAGCTGACTTGAGGGCCTGCAGGGGGACGTGATGTTTGACCGAGGTTTCTTGGTTCTGTGGTGGGGGCTTTGGGTTGGGGGGGGGGGGGGCATCAGCAGGGACTTACTTTGTTCTCAGCTGTTAAGACCGCGATGGAGTCGTTTTTGGTGAGGAGCTCTTGTTGGAGCTTTTCGCAGCGTGTCCGGAATTGTGCGAGCTCGTCCTCGAGCTCCTTGATCTGCACAGATGCTGACATGTTTTCCCGGGCTGCTTGACGAGCTTTGGAGCATTTTTGATAGGCTTCATACCTTTCCTCCACGCCCTCGCAAATACTCCATAAGGCCATCGCCGGAAGGCAAGCCGGTGGGTAGGCCTTGCAGTCTGCCATGGGCGACTCAGCAGGTTTGCAATCGAGCAACCAACCCTTCTTATTTGGGAGCGTTCTTTACCTCTCAAGTGTCGAGGGCGGAATGTGCGATGTGGCTGGCGTGGTCAGCCCAATCGTTGAGCCCTGTGGCATCGGCCCGCCCGGGGTCTGGAGAGCCAGTCTAGGCCGCTTATTGGGATCACCTGTTGCTGGTTGCATTTTGCTTTCGGATGTTTCTTGGTGCTTGGCTTTAACTGTCTGTTTGCGCAAAAGAGCGCGTATTCTTTGCACCGCTTTCCTGTTTTTCCACCAAGTCTTTGAAAACGTTTGTGCAAAACACCTGGATCGCGCCCCATTATATTTCGTGTCCAAGTTCGTTAAGGTTTCGAAGCGTGGTTCGTTAATGATCCGCTCTGTATTCCTGCTATTGTTTCCTAGGACCTGACATAGTCCTCGCCCTATTGCCCAAATTGCAGACGCTCAGAGGGCGAGAATGGCGAGCTTGTATTGCGCCTGGAATCCGGCTCGCCCGATGTCACCGGTTCTCGCTGGGACTCGGTGCTCTACATCGGCGCCTCATGGGATCCCTATGAGCTCGTGGACCGCGGCGTGGCTGCTGCGGCCGCGTTGTCGGGCGGCGCCAGGCCGCGTACCGCCAAGGCCATGCCTCCATCCCTCGATGGTTTCGGATGGTGCACTTGGGATGCCTTCTACAGCACCGTCTCCGCTCGCGGCCTGGCGGAGGGCCTCAGCAGCTTGGAGGATGGCGGCGTGTGTCCCCAGCTGCTCATCATTGATGACGGTTGGCAGGTGGGCTGTTGCTCTGCTGTTGGTGTCTAATGGCTACGGAGCCCTCCAGCTGTCCTTAAACCCTAACCCTGCTCCTCCTCTAGTGTATGTAATGTATGTATTTACCCATTTACCTAACTCCTCCTCCTCCTCCCCATCCGTGCGGACTGTGGCCGCCTCCAGATGACCGATGTTGACCCGCCCATGCGCAAGACCCCCGCTGCCGAGCTGGCGGACAAGCTGCGCGTGGAGGGCGAGCCGCGCCGCCTGCTGGAGGCAACGCAGGTAACCACCACAAAACACACACACGTGTAACTGCTGTGCATGCCGTACATGCTGTGCCTTGCGACGCTTAGGGTTCTTAGCCATCTTATTGCTTTATCCGGCGCATCTCTCTACAGTAGCTTAGCCTTATGGCTTAGCCTCCCCCGGACCCCCTACGTTGGAGTCTCGGGCAATCCGTGATGCCCTCTTTAACGCCCCCCTTCCCTCCCTCCCCCCTCCCCCCCCCCCCCTCCCCAGGACGAGTTCTTCTACGAGAGCCAGGAGGTGATGGCCGACACCGCCGCGCAGCTGCCCCCCGGCACCTCCGCCGCCACCCTCATGCCCACGCTAGCCAACCTGGGGCCGCAGCACCACACCCCCTCGCACAGCGGCAGCAGCGCCGACATGATTGACCTGCACAGCAGCGGCGAGGTTGCAGCGGCGGATAACACGGAGGGTGCTGCTGCTGGGGGTGTCTCCTCGTCAGGAGCAGCTCAGCAGCAGCAGGGGCAGCAGCCGACAGGTGTGGTGGACTCGAGCGGTGTGGGAGTCAGCATTGCTGAGGCGGTGGCACGGGCGGGCCGGACGGGAGGCGACCAGCCGGCGGCTGCAGCGCCGTCATTGCCAGAGCGCCGCGCGGCGCCCAAGGCCGCTGCCAGCAACCCCAACGCTCCCAACGGCCCCACCAGCAGCAGCCTCAGCCTGACCCCTGTTACCGCCAACTCCTCCTCCTCCTCCTCGGCTGTGTGGCTGGCTCGTGCGAGTCAGAAGGTGGCGGGCTGGCTGATGGGTCTGGCCACCGCCGGCTTCCTCATCTTCTACCAGTGGGTGGTGGAGCCGGCGCCGCCAAACAGCCTGGCGGTGCGCGCGTTTGCGGCGGCGGCCAAGGGTGAGGGGGGCTGGGGGGGAGGGAAATACGTTAAACGAAGCGTGAAGCAACGGAGTCCCAATTCCCGACTCATGCAGTGGAGGGCGGGGTTGGTACCGGGGATGGTGGGGGGACCCGGGGTGCCTTGCGGGGTAGCGAAGGTGTACCTGGCGTCGAGTGTGCACTGTATGTTCACAAGTACCTCCCCCCTCCCCCCTCCTTCCAGGCATCCTGCGTCCCGCCATGCTCTCCTTCTACGCCAACGCCTCCGACTTCACGCGCCGCCTGACCAGCGTGCGAGCCAACGGCAAGTTCTCCTCACCCGACGCCGGCCCCGAGGCCGACTGGGTGGGGGTGCCGGAGGCGCTGGGGACCGTGGTGGCTCACATCAAGAGGAAGTGAGTGGGGGAGGGGGTGGAGTTAGGTAGGGGGAAGGGGGGGTGGCTCTTATGTGAGGCCCTGGACGTTGACCGGAGTTGTGCAGCGGCCATCCTCCTGCAACCCATGGGGGGAATCCCTGTCAGACGGCTCCTCAGTTTCCTCCTCTTTTCCTCCTCCTTCCCCTCCGTAGCATCGGTTGGGATTCCTGTGCTGCTACTTCCAGCGCGTTCCCTTCTTCCTCCTTCTACTACTGTCTAACATCACCACCTCCTGCCTCCCTGCCCCCCCCTCCAGGTTCGGTGTCCGCTACATCTACTGCTGGCACGGCCTGCCCGGCTACTGGGCGGGTGTGATGCCCACCGACGGGGGCGAGCCGGGCGGCGGCGCGGGGGTGCTGGGCCTCACCTCCCACCTGCGCTACGCGGCGCCCACCGCGGGGGTGCTGGAGATAGAGCCGTCCATGGCCTGGAACCCCGCAGTGCTGGCAGGTGGGTGAAAATATAGATACCGGTAAATGCATCAACGGAGTCCCAATCCCGAATCCCGACTCATGCAGTGAGCGCATTCGGAGACCCTATTCTAGAAACACGCAGCTCAGAGACTTACCGATGGTTTGCTTACCAGAAACCTAGATGACTTGAGCAAGAAGCCGCCTTGCATAGGAACACTAGTAAGGCATGTGCCGCGCCGCCGGCCACTAATTCTAAAGACAACAGGGCTATTGGTGGGCAGCGGTTCGAGATCATAGACTAAGGAGCGGGTATGTCTTTTTATATGCTTTCCCCCATGACCTCTCGTTGTGACGCTCCATCGCTTAGCGACCTCCTCTTCCCCCCCTCCCTCCTCTCCTCCCTTCTCCCCCCTGCCCGCAGGCATCGGAGTGGTGACCGACCCGCACCGCCTCTACCACGCCATGCACCGCTACCTGGCTGACTGCGGGGTGGACGGGGTCAAGGTGGACTGCCAGGCGGGGGTGGGGCTGATCGGTGAGGGGGGGGGGGGGGAGGGAAAGGAAAGGGGAAATCGACGAGCTGTATGACAAGGCTTCATGGGGAGGGAGGGAGGGTCTCTTTCCCTTTCCCGCTCGGAGGTGGTCTCTCTTGCTTGCCTTGGAAAACGCTAACCTTGATGGAAGCATTTCAACCATCTCTCCTGTCCTTCTACTTCCTTTAATTACAACGCTTCCAGCCCGTTTAACCCGCGAGTCACCTTCCAGATGCACAAGATTGCTCATCCCCGCCCCCGCTCATCCTTATTCAACACATTGTGTGAACGTCTTTCCATCCCCCCTCCTGCTCCCCCCCCCCCAGGCAGTGCAATGGGTGGCGGTGCCGCCCTGAGCGCCACCTACCAGGGCGCGCTGGAGGGCTCCGTGGCGGCGCACTTTCCGGGCAACCACGTCATTAACTGCATGTGCCACTCCACGGAGAACATCTACAGGTGGGGGGGAAGACTGGGGGGGACGGGGGAGATGGGGTAGGGGGGGGGGATTCATAAAGTAAAACAACGGGGGTGGGTAGGCAGGTGGGGGACACGTAGGCGACAAGGGTGGGTGGGTGGGTTTACATGCCTAAACCAGATCAAACCCGCGGCCCTAACCTGCGGTTGTGATGTATATCTCTCATCCCCCATTCAACGCATGCTTCTTCCCCTCCCCCCCTCCCCCTCCACATCTCCCTATTAATCCCCCTCCCCCTCCACCTCCACCTCCACACCCACTCCCAGGATGTCCAACACCGCGGTGGCTCGCGCCTCCGACGACTTCTACCCGCGCGACCCCGCCTCCTCGCACCCGCACATCGCCGCATGCGCCTACAACTCGCTGTTCCTGGGGGCGCTGCTGCAGCCCGACTGGGACATGTTCCACTCCAAACACCCGGCGGCGCGGCTGCATGCGGTGGCACGGTAGGAACGGGGGGGGGAGCAGGCGGGGGTAAAAATAAGGAAACTGACGAGCTGTAGGAAGAGGCTTCACCAGGGGGGGAGGGCAGGGGAGGGAGTGAGAAAGGGGAGGGGGGAGGGAGTTAGAATGCCAGTAAAGGGAACAGGACAACGGTGAACCTTTCCTACATCATACCGCGTACTGTTGTAGGATGGGATTAGCATCGAGTTCCTAGAGATGTACTGAAATGCGGTCGCTTTAGCGCGCTGTTGCACGACAACAGATCACCTTTTGCTTTGCTCAATGCTCTCAATACCGCACCTCTCCCCCGTCCCCCCCCCCCCCAATACACAGTGCCGTGTCCGGCGGCCCCGTGTACGTCTCCGACAAGCCCGGCGACCACGACTTCAGCCTGCTTCACACGCTGGTGCTGGCGGACGGCAGCGTGCTGCGGGGGGGGCTGCCGGGGCGACCTAGCCGGGACTGCCTGTTCAAGGACGTGCTGAGGGACGGGAAGAGCCTGCTCAAGGTGGGGAGCAGGAGGGGAGGGGGGAGGGAAGGGGAAAAATAAAAGATAAGTGCAGCAACGGAGGAGGGGAGAGGGTGGGGAGGAAGGGAAGGGGGTTTGCGCTGTCGTCCCAGTCTCTTGTCGCCGTGCTCCGGCCTTCTTTTTGTTGGCACTCGTATTCCCCTTGCCAACACCAACGCAACCTCCTTCCATGTGAAACCGGTGCAAACCCCCTCTTCCCCTGCCTCCCCCCCTTCCCCAGGTATGGAACACCAACCCCGTCACCGGTGTGGTGGGGGTGCTGCACCTGCAGGGCAGCTCCTGGGACCGCACCCGCCGCAAGTTCCACGTGCACGACAAGGCGCCCAGGCCGCTGGCTACTTGGGTGAGAGCGGGAGGAGGAGGGGCTGAAGGGAGGAGAGGAGCGGGGGAACGGAGGGGGGATGATAGTGTGTAGTGGGTGGAAGAGGAAACAACCAACTGACCGTGTGATAAGGCGCCATCATGGTTTGCAACGGGGGTGAGGGGGTGCGGAGGTTGGGGGGGAGGCGGCGGTGCTGACGGTGAGGTGGTGTCATCGCGCCTTTCGACTGACGTGCGGATTAGCGGTGTATGTATGTGACTTAACTCTCATGTGTACCTCCCCACCCGACCCCACTCCACCCCACCCCACCCCGCATCCCTCGCAGGTTCGGCCGTACGACGTCGACGCCTTCCGGCCGCCCTCCACCGCCGCCACTGCGGCCGCCGCCGCCGCCCTCGCCGCCTCCTTCGAGCCCGGCAGCTCCTCCTCCTCCTCCTCCTCCTCTCCTGCCGCCGCTGCTGCCGCCGCCGCCCGCAGCGCGCCGCCCGAGTTCGCGGTGTTCTGTCGCAACAGCGGGGCGGTGTCGCTGCTGCGGGGACACGAGGGAGTGCAGGTGCGTGTATGGGGGGGTCAAAGACCATACCGAACCATAGGAGACCACAAGTATGGGGGGGAGGGGGGGGGGAGGGGGGGGGGAGGGGGGGGGCCGGGGGGGGCCGGGGGGAGGTGTTGTTTGATGCTTCCGTGTTGCGTTTAATGGAAGCATGGCACTAAACACCGTTCCTGAGCTTCCTTTGTTTGCCAGCGTGTTGGTCCTGCTGTCTGGTTTTCGGTTAGCCGCTCCCCTTTCTGCTTTCCTCCATGGCACAATCAGAATTGTCCCACCATGTGTATTGGTACTGATGCCCTCCTGCCCTCCCTTCTCCCACTTCCCCTCCCTTCTCCCTCCCCCCCACTTCCTCCCCCCAGGTGTTCCTGCACAGCGGCGAGGCGGATGTGGTCACCGTAGCCCGCCTCATGCGCTCCGGAACCACCGCATTCGCCTGCCTGGGCCTTGCAAACATGATCAACGGAGGTGGCGCGTTGAGGGCGGTACGACAAGAAACCAACAGCCCGGCGCTGCCGACCGTTGTTTCCGGCGGCGCTGCGAGTGCGGCCACGAGCAGTGGTTTCGGAGCGACTGAGGTGGTTTTCACGCTAACGGTTCGCGGTCACGGAGATCTGCTGGCGTACTGCAGCCGCGAGCCGGATGTCGTACGGCTGAACGGCGCGAGGCTGCAGCCGGAGGTGAGCTACAGCTTCCTGCCAGGGGCTGCCGTACAGATGGCGGAGGGGGCGGATGGTACGGCAGGAGGAGGCGAGGCGGGTACGGCGATGGTTGCGGCGGAGGGTGGGCGGTTGCGAGTGGACCTGCCCAGGGTTTCGGATCTGGAGAATGAGGTGCAGGTGGTGTTCCGGAGCTTCGAGTGAGGTGGGAGGGGGGAAGTGGAAGGAAGAAGGGGGAAGGGAGGACGTGGGAGTGAAACCGTGAGGCGACAGAGAGAGGCGTCAGGAGGATGGCTTAGGGGTAGGAAGTTAGTGTACCTCAGCCTCGGTGTTTGGACGAAGGGGCAGTGAAAGGAGGGCTGCGACTCGGCAGCGACCATGTTAGGTGATATGTTTGGGTGGCGTGTTGGTCTAGATGGATACTTGAGGATAGATGCTTGGGGCTCGCCAAAGCCGCTTTCCTGGGAGGTAGAGAGAAGAGGCAGTGAATTGGCGCTTGACGAGTGTTTTGGGCACCGTTGAACTCATGCATTCCTGTCGGCAAACATGGCGCCCCCGCCTAGAATTCCCCTTCAATCAAGTCACCCTGTTAAGCCACATAGCGGACAAGACGCTGAGCAGGTCGCGAGGGGACTAGAGTGTAGGTAGGGCGCTACATCGGCATGCGGGGTTGCTGCATGCACGGTATCTAAAGTTTGCTTGTAGTTTCGGTAATGCCATACGTGCATGGGAGAAGATGTGCCGATCCGTTTAGTGAAGAGATTTCGGGAATCGGCAGACGGGAATCTAGTTTGGGTTTCAGCGCATGCATCGGACCGTTTCTGGTAGGTGGCGCGCCCAGCTTTCTTGCCCTTCGTACTTTCGCTGTACCTTTGTAGTGGTCGCCTATGGGTTTCCGTGTACCCATTGTGCATGTGGTCGACTTCGTGAGATTGGGGGCGGGAATGGCTGTGTCTGGGTCTCTCTTGTGTAGGGCGTGCTGTTCTTTGTGCTGCCAAGTAGAAACTTGTGGGTAGCAGTAGCTTGCGGACGAAGGAGGGATGCCCTCGGCAACCCAAAGGCGCATGGTGTTCTCGTTTAATACTGCGTGCCCAGTAATGCCAGTAAGCGTACGGATTTGCATCAAGGCAGCTTGGCCAGGCAGTTTGTGTAGGGAGGTTTTCCAGGAGGCGTGTCGCAGCACTTTCGGCGTATGATGAGGGTTAGGGAGTGACATGCAGTGACTGGCTTCCTGCTGGCTTGTCTTGTCCTGCTGGCTCGCATGATAGGTCCCAACCCTCCCAACCTAACTTGCAAACATGACTCTTACCTACCGCTGCCGTGTAAGTATGTGCTGCTACTGCCCAGGGCAAAAGCCAAGTCTCTCCTTATAACATAAGCCCAATCCGTGTAGCTGCAACCCTAACTGCCAGTATCGCCATTTTGCCGTGGGCACTTGCTTAGGTATCCCAGGGCTAGCGCATTTCCCATTAGTACTAGCACTAGATCATGGTGGGCATGTCGGACGAACGTCCCCTTTTCTTCCGCACGCCGGCCGGCCATATTCCCGTCATGCTGGGGAGCAGCTGCTGCGGGCTCAACCCAGCCGCGCATGGGCGCCGATGATGCACAAACCCGCATATAGCTGCTGTGTCTGGAGCTGCTAGGTGACCGTGCATCGTGCTGGTAAAAGACCGAAATGGGAATAAAGGGGCTCCACAATTGCCGTTACAACCAGCAACGACTGACCCCTTTGGACCCTGCCAGCCACAGCTCGAGGCTGAGCCGAGGACGTACACGACCCACAGAGCTCCCGGCTTAGGCAGCTCCTCAAACTCCACCTCCTGCGCTGCTGCAGCTGCTTTTGCAGATGGACGCCGGAGGCATTCGCTGCTAAAAGAGGAACTCGCGAGCCTTTTGGCTGGCCTGCTACGCTGATTGCATCCGCCGCCGTCCAAGAACGGCGTAGCGACCCGCACCGCAAGCCAGTCGCCTGCGCTGAAGCCCATAAAGGCCAAAAGTCGCTTGGCTGTTACACCAGAGCGCAGCCTCGATGCAGCTGCTCCGCTTAGGCGGGGTTGGAGTTGGGGCCGCGCTTCTTGCCGAAGCCAACCACTGCGGTATGGGCGAAACGATAAGCAAATATACTTATTACCATATTAATCTTAGGCCATTCTAAACAGCAGAGCAATGTCGTTATCTGCCCGGATGCGGCTCGGGTCTTAAGAAGCATAACATGTTGAGCTAACAAACATATCTGTCTTTTGTACAGAGAGCAATGTGGGCAGCTGTGTTGGACTGAGGAAACACTGGGGGCTGCCTTTTCTCAATTGGTTCATTGGCGCTGCGGCGTATTCCCCGTCAGCTCTATCGTCCGTCCCTAACGCCATAGCAGCAGCATCGGGGTGCTGGCAGGCCCGACTTCAAACAAGGGCTGGCTAGGGGCCACCCAACTCCACTGCATGCTCACCAACGTTGACGAAACGGCGGTTGTACTTCATGCGCTTCATGGCGCGGCCACGCGGCTGCTTCTTCTTCTCCTGCTTGGGGACCTTGGGAGTCTGGCCGCGCACCTTGCCGGCACGGGCGAGGGAACCGTGGACCTTACCTGCAGAAACAGGGCTGCGCGTTAAGCCGCCGCCATAAAAACAAAGCCTACGCTAGCTACGAATTTGCACATGCTTACCCATCTTTTAGGTGTTTTGCAGCAATCGCAAGAGGCCGAATACTGTGCGCACAGAGTCTTTGAGGGACTCCCTGTCGGGCCCAATGTGGTGTACGATACTCAAGCTCACAAATGCGAGGACTTGTTCTCTTCACACCGGCATGTTTATATCTATCTACGATTTTCTTATATGGGGTCTTTGCTTTTACCTTGCGTTTACCTAAGTTGGATTTCACCACTGCTTTGAACGCGCTGCAAGTCGAAGGAAACCCCTTCAATTACTGTCGATGTATCAAATACGCCTAAGCTTCACCTAGGTGTCGTTTTCACTATGTAGTACTAGTGCCATGACCGCTTTCAACCTGTAGCAACACGCGAGTACACCAGCGGAATTGGCCCACTTTATAGCGTGGTTAGACGCAGCATAAGTGCACGCGATTTTGGCGCTGACAGACATCTGGATGACCTTCGGCTGGCAATATGCTTACCTGCTACTGCTTCTCGCCGTGGCTCAGGTGACGAGACGATACTACAGTTGCGCAGCCCTCCGACACGGAAATCGTTTCGTTTCTACTCGTCATAAGACAGAATCGCATGGGGCCGTATGACATGATTGTAGGAGTGCTTGGGAGGTTGGGCATCGGTTGGAACTTCAGCCCGAACATTAGCGGGGCATGGAGTGCAGCTACACAATTATTAGAAAACCTGTTTGTGGTCTGTTTCATATTCACCGTTAACGGCAATCTTGGACTCGCACTATCCAACATTTACGAACACAGTCCGACTTAACTCCTCCCGGCCGAACCATCCGCAGGGAGACCCCTTCGCCGCGGATCCCTCGCCACTCCCACATCCTCCAGCCAACGCACTCTCCACCTCAGCCTTTCCGCCCCCGGACTCACCACCCGACTCCACATCCTTAGAAACCATCTTGCAGCTGTCGGGCACCACCAACCTCACCTGCGCAGAACTGCAGCAGTCCTTCCTCGTCCTTCTAGATAGCGGCGACATCTTCTCGCGCAACCAGCTCTGCTACATCCAGGACCCCACGGACTCCCAGTCGTTGGCGGCAACCAACCAGACGCAGTCCACCACCACCACCACCGCGAGGTCCTTCATCCTCTCCGCGGTTCTCCCTAGCCTAGATGACGCCCTGGGCACTATCCAGCAACTCGGACAGCCCCAGGGTGCCGACATCCGCGGCTTCCTCGCCAGCGCCGGAGTGCCCTGCGGCAGCAAGCTCACCGCCACCACCCTCACGGAGGAGCAGGACGCCGCCTCCGTCTTCACCCTCAGCTGCAGCGGCCTGCCGTCCAACCTCCGCGCCTCAGCCTCGCTCTCTCTTCCCGCACTGTGCTGTGCGCCGCACACCGTCAAGCCGCCGAAACCGCCCCCGCAACGAAAGCGCCCGCCGCTGCGGCCGCTGCCACCCTCGCCGTCGCCACCACTCTCGCCGCCGCGCCCTAGCACCATGCTGAGTTACCACTCACCCTTACCGCTACCGCCGTCGCCACCATCTCCAGTCCCGCCGCCGTCGCCGCCGTCACCGAGCCCGCCAAGGGCCTCCCGCAGGCTCTCGCCGCCGCCCTCACCCCCCAAGGGCAGCAGCGGTTCCTCCAGCGCGCCGCAGCTGACTCTGTATGTGATGGCGCCGCCGCGGCGACTCGTCTGCGCCAAGTTGCTGACGGCCTGCCAGACGCTGGCGCAGCCGTACGGCCTCATCAACGGCAACTACACGTGCCGCGCCAGTGATGATGATGACACGGTGCACCCACGGTACGGCACTACCGCGCCTTTGCCGCCATCCGAGGATTCGGAAGCGGGAACCTCTCCTGCATTGGGTGCTGACAGCACCGGCAGCAGCATTAACCTGACCAACACCTCTGTGCCGCCACCGTTAGCGCCGTTTCCCTCGCCGCCGGTAGCCACGTCAGCCTACATGATCGTGACGGCTCATTGGCCGCAACGGCCGTACGACCGGTGCTTCCGACGGCTCCTGGGCTCCCTCGCGAGCAGCGTCGAGGTGTTTGCCAGCCTCGGCATGGTGCCCTGCGGTACGGAGATCCGTGCCGTACTGCTTTCAACCGCTGGCGTCGTCCGGCGGGAGGACGCGTACGGCTGTGTCAGCACCCTGCAGTACAGCTACGCGTCGCAGCTGCAGCAGCAGGGGCTGCGGGTGGTGCCGCGGCAGCTCCTGTGCTGCCGTCCGCCGCCACCGCCGCACCTGCCCCTGCCGGCATCGCCACCGCCGCTGGTCCCGCCGACAAGGGGGCCCGACGCGCCGCCGCCAGCGCTGCCGCCCCCGCCGCCGCGGGACCCTGGCTTGTCCCCCGCAGTCGACACAGCGGCGCCGCCATCCCAACCACCGTTGAAGCCAGGGCCACCGCCTCTCCCGATAACGAACATGGCACCACCACCGCCGTCACCGAACGGGGCTTGGGAGGGTGGAAGCGGCTCGGAAGGAGGAGGCGGTGGTGGCGATGGCAGTGGGCTGGTAGCGGGCCAGCAGAATGGCGGCTCCTCCTCACCTCCCCGCCAGGCCTACGCAGCTGAGTCAGCACCGCCGCCGGGGAGGGTTAATCTAGGTGAGGGAGGATAGAGAGCAGGCGTGACGAGGGAGGGACGGAGGGTAATTGCTACAGTGGCGGATGGTACATTCGCGGTTTGCGTCAGAACCGCCTGCATGTTACGCAATGGCCAGCTGTATCTTCCTGCTGACGCCAATGCCCTCCTCCATCTCTCACCCTTGCACCAGGTTCCGCGGGCCTGTCTCGCCCAGTGGTTGCAGTGATCGCCTCCCTCGCCGCCGCCGCCCTGGCCTCCACCATGGGGGCGGTGTTTGCGCTCTTCCTCCGCCGCCGCAGCGACGCATCCGTCAGGGGCAAAACCAGCACCAACACTAGGGGCGAGCAGCGGCCGGGACAGACCGCTCGGCAGTCAGGCGCCGGCTCCGCAGCAGCGGTCGCCGGAGGTACCGTCGCGGCGGCAGTAGCCGCCCTAGCTGGCCCCAACGGCAATGCCTTTGGAGGATGTTCCGCGTCCGTGGGTGGTGCTGCTCCTTCTCCATGGCTGGGTGTCGTCCTGGGCGAGGGGACGGAGGGCGAGGAGGAAGCGGGGAAGAGGAGAGAGCACTCAAAGGTGAAGGGTGTCATGCATGTTTCAAAGGGCGGCTGCTTTGGGGGTGGTAGTGAGGGATGCCTGGAGCCCAAGGGGCCCTCCTCCTCCTTTTCGTCCTCTGGCGCGGGATGCTCCTCGTCGTCAGGGTCGGGCTCGACACCGGCCTCCAAGGGGTCCAAGACGGCTGCCAGTGCTGATGTTGCTGCTGCTGGCGGCGCTGCTGGGATGACGTACGTGGTCGGTGCGGGCGGTGACCCTGGTGAGGGCGACAGCGTGGCGATTGTTCGCGCCAGTCCGCGCAATCCTCAGGCTGCTGTCCCCCCGGGCGCCCACCACCACTACCACCCACAACAGCCTCACCGCCAACACCAGCAGCAGCACCACGGCTGTGAGCAGGGCGATTTGCAAGGGAGGCAGCAGCAGCAGCAGCAGGAGCAGCACTTTCAGGGACAACAGTCGGGGAGTACACAACAGCAGCAGCAGCAGAACTCCCCCGTCACCCCAGCGGACGGCTTTGACGCCATGAACGTATTCCGGGACGCCGCTTTTGACATTTCCCTCTCCGCAGCCACCAGCGCTGCGCCCTCTGCAGCGGGCGGTGCCATGCATGCGGCGGGGCTGCCCCGGGGTGCCCTGCTGCTGCACACCGGCGCCGCTGCTGCTGCGCCTGCTGCCATGGCGGCGACCGGTGCGGTGGCCGGGCTGCCTAGAGGAGTAGGAGGAGCAGGACCGGGAGAACCTAACAAGGCCCTTCCCGACGGCCATCAACCGCATAGCAACCAGCAGCAGCGGTATCAACAATACCAGCAGCAGAGGAGGCCCTTGGAGGTTACTCTGCTAGAGCTCTTTAACCAGTCGCCGCTGGTGGGGGCGCTGCTGGCAACGCCGGTGAACAGTGAGGGTGGCGCCCCGCCGCCATCGCCATCACCAGCAACCCCATTCGCTGCTACCGGTATTTCGAGTTTTGCTGGCTGTGGTGCTCCTGGTGCCTCTGGTGCTGTTGCCACTACTGCCGCTGCTGGCGTGGGTGCCGTACGGCAGCAGCTCAGCAGTAGAAGCAGCAACAACACCAACAACCCGGCGGTCGCCTTGGAGCGGCTGTCCGTACAGTTGGCTAGGAACATTGCCCGACTGTCGAGTAGCCGGCTGGAGTTGATGGAGGCTGGGGGGGAAGGCGACGAAGAGGAGGAGAGGGTAGCAGAAAGGGACCTTGGAGGCGGGAGGGTCACAGCCCACTCCAGTGCAGTGGGCCCTAGTAGCGGGCTTTCAGGGTCGGAGCCGTCGGCTGCAGCAAGCGGGGGTAGCGGGCAGCCGGACTCCTCCTCAGGCTCTGGGAGTGCGAGGTCCGCACCCGACTCAGCATCCGCATCCCAGTCGTTTCGTTGTGCTGGGGACGTCACTACTAATAGCAGCAGCGGGTTCCAAGCTACGAGGCATGTGCACAGTGGTGGTGGTGGCGGCAGTGGAGCAGCAGGCGTAGAATGCCTGCCCACTGCGGGGTCGCTGCCGCCGTGCGCGTCACTGCCCGCCGCCTTGCCGAATGTGGCTGCGACTGTGGATGTTCCTCAAGAGGGTTCCCGTCTGGGTACAGAAGTGGGCACGGCAGGGGTGGCAGCAGCAGCAGCAGGGTCCGGGACAGCGCCGGTGTTGCCGTTAAGCCGACAGGGACCTGGAGGCGGAGGGGCAGGCGGCAAGGCAGTGGCGGCACAGCAAACGCTTCCACGCGAGCAGCAGCCTGCAAGCGGGCCCATGGACCTGGACATCAGTCCCCGGGACCTGCGGATCAACACGGATGGCCTACTGGTGAGTGCCTTGTTTACTTTTGTTCTTTAATGACTTGCTGTTAGAGATAGCAGAGCAGGAAGAGAAGGAGCCGCGATGGACCTTTCAGTCTGCATCTTTCTTCTTCAAACCCCGCCTCTCCCCTCACTCTATCATTCGCGCTGCTCTCCTGCTCAGGGCGCCGGCGCCTTCGGCTCCGTGTACCGCGGCTCCTACCTGGGGCAGCCGGTGGCCATCAAGGTGTTGCACCACCTGCACCTCGCAGCAGCAGCTGCAAACGCAAACGCAGCAGCAGTAGGTTGCGGGGCCTCTGCCTCCGCCGCTGCGGGCCTGCAGCTGCAGCAACGCGACCTAGAGGCCTTCCGTCAGGAGATCGCGATGCTGCGGTCGCTGGCGCACCCCAACATTGTGCGGGTGCTGGGCGGGTGCGCGCACGCGGGGCACCCCTTCCTGGTGATGGAGCTCATGCCCGCCTGCCTGCATGACGTCATTCACCACCCGCACCGCTACAAGAGATACCTGCAGGGGTTCTTTGCTGCTACGACACCCGCACCGCCGCCACTGCAGCAGCAACGGCAGCGCACCCAGCGGCAACAGCAGCTACCCCTTGGAAGCAGCAGCAGCGGAGGCGGTGAAGATGGCGGGAGTGACCCACGGGTCGGGGAAGGACGGCCGGCAGCAGCAGGAAGGTGCATGGTCAGCGCTGAGGGCCGGCTGGCGCTGGGAGCTGCGCTGCATATCGCTGCTGACGTGGCTCGGGGTCTGGCGCACCTGCACGCGGGCGCCATCGTGCACCGGGACCTCAAGCCCGCCAACATACTGCTGGACGCGGAAGGTGAGGATGGCGGAGAGGGGGCCGGAGGTGCGAGAGGAAAGCTGTGGCAAGGAAGTCAAGGGGGGCGAGGAGGAGGGCGCAATGACAGGGAAGCTAGTTTTGGTTTACAGACAGCTTAAAGCACGTGTCCTCTCGCACGTCTTGACATCCTGCCGTTGCAACCCATCCGCTGTCCCTCAGCTCCTCACCTCCCCTGCCCTCTCCTGCCCCCCAGGCACCGCCAAGATCTCGGACTTTGGCCTGGCTCGCTACCACCTGAAGCCCTACATCAGCACGCAGCAGCCGGACGCGGGCTCAGTGGCCTACATGGCGCCTGAGGGTGCGTGGGAGGAGGGAAGGGGAGAGGAGAGTGAGGCGATGAGAGAGGAGAGGGAGGGGGGAGCGAATGGGGGGTAAGGAAGCGGATTTGTGGTTGTGGGACTTTGTGGGAAAGGTTCTACCGGTACTGCAAGCTGGAATATTAAGTCTGGGCCTTGGTGTACGTTGCAATAAAGGATTTTTCTCAAAAAATTAATGATCCTGCGTTCTGCTCCACTGACACTGATGCATGCCGATGTGTACCTCCGTAGGTTTCGATCCTGCCATTGGACGCCTGTCGGCCAAGTGCGACGTGTACAGGTGAGGGATTTGACCGGGTGGAACTGACCTTCGCTTCGTCGTTTGGGCGGTAGGAAGGCCTTCCGGCTCCGGAGCGGCGCATGACGAGCCGCTGGCCTTTGTCCGAGTGGCTTGGACACCAGCGGCAATACCTCTGCATTCGCATTGTATGCGCCATTGGGGGAGACTGCTGGTGATTAGCTGCTTACACCCCTGTGTTGCCTTCCACTGTACTGTCCATTGGCAAACGCCATCTACACCTCCCTCGCGCAGTTTCGGAGTGCTGCTGTGGGAGCTGCTGACGCAGGAGCACCCTTGGAGCGGTGAGAGCAACGTTGCCATCATCTACCGCGTCGCCGTACACCGCATGAGGCTGCCGGTGCCCACCGACCCACGGGTCTGTCCTCCGCGGCTGGCCACCCTACTAGACTCCTGCATGTCGTACCTGCCTGCCGAGCGGCCTGACATGAGCTGGGTGCTTGGGGAGCTCGAAGACATGTTGCAGCTGGTGGGAGAAGGCGGGGAAACTGCGCTATTGGTGCTTCAGCAGCAGCAAGAGCAGCAGTGAGAGCATCGCGAGATGCGCTTCGTGATTAGCTGGTTGATGGAGTCGCATCGGAGAGGGGCACTTGAGTGGGGCAGCAACATCACCCATGGGGTGGTGTGGGCCATACCGGCAGGAACGAACGTGCGAAGCGTGCGAGTGCCCTAGGGTGCAGTAGACCTTGATAGACGGATGTGAACCGTATATGAATAGTACACGGCGTGATTCCCGCATACCCTACGTGCTAATGTGAAATGCCCCATTCATGTTCCATACAACACAGCTTATCCGGTGGGTTATTGCCACGTCCTTGGCGGAAGCCATGCTGACCTATGTGTAAGGCAGCTGGCTGTTACCCGTTGTGGGACGAGAGGCGTGTTGTTACCCGTCGGGACATAATGGGGCCAGAGTGCCGTGCCCGCTAGGTAAGCATTCTTTTCTTTACTGTCCAGGTAGTGGAATCTTCTTTTGTGTGTTCATGGGGGCGTCACTGTCGTCGCGAAGGGAGCGTTGATAACTTACACTGTTGTTCGTTTCTTATACTGGTATTGTTCTGCTCTGTTGGTACTGCTGAAGTAATAAAGCTATTGCGATTCATTGTAGTTGATCATTCATATCTACCGTTGTTCGTTAGCACAGTTGGCTCAAACCCACGTAGGGGGCAGGAAACAGGGTCATAGGGTGCTTACTGGAACGTTTCATTTGTTTTGTGGATTCAGCGGGCGAGCGTCCGCGCTGGGCCGCGTATTTATAATAGTGTAGTGACGATACATCGGAAATCGGTAGCCCGGCCACGTTCCTTATGTCTCCTCAACGTAGGTTAGCAGCCGTGCGAAGGACCTTACTTCTCTCCAAGTGCATATGATTTCTTTGTTCGTTTCCCTCTAGCTGTCTTTCCTTCGTGTCTCTCCTCTTTGTCCTTTCTGCCAATGTCTTTCACCGTGGCCATAACCCTGCGGACAGGGTTGGACTGCTGATTACCGTAACAGACAGGCTATCCTTTTTAACTTAAATGTCCTAACCCTATTAGGTGAAATGTCGCGTGCTACGCGCCTTGCTACTTCACTCAGCCGTAGCCCTGTAGCGGTAGTGGAGCTGTAGTGCACATCAGCTGTAGACTAGGGTCGGCTACGTGTTGAACAAACGAGAAGCTAGTTGTGATTGGTGATTAAGTAATCGTTGTGGTTGTTGTGATAATGGCTCGGAGGCATACCGTAGTAGTTTTAGGTTGACGGCACCTGCGTGCAAGGCGAACAACCGGTGGTCACGTGTCGACACAGGGTACAACAGGGTATTCAGTTGTACAGCTTGCATGATGATGTAGGGGGGGGAGCCCTATGTTGACAACCCCTTGGGGTTTGCCTGGTGTAAATACAAAACAACCCCATAAGGTTCCCAGTGAAGCTGCGTCTTCCTTCTTCCTTAGAGGGCCGTGGCATGTTGCTATGTACCCTTTCATACACAATGAATCTATTCTTGCACGGGATGTGGACTAAGCTTCTATATTGCTGTGCACCAGGTGAAGACGTGTGTGTATGTCATTGCATCAGGCGGCACACGGCAATCGGACAGCTGGAACCGATCCCTACTGTACCTGGCTGGCGTGAACCCTGCAAAGTAATCAATTCAAAAACATTTATAACGTGTGTCCATACGGTCCGCATAGTTTACAAAGCTACTGACATTGCTTCCACATGCTCAAAGCCAACCAACTACCGAGTGCTATTAAATTTATTCTACACACCAATTCTTTGCATGAAGAATACACAATGTTAGCGACTCATAAAGGATAGTTGCTCAAAAGAGGCGGCTGTTGCTAAACATTACTACGACTGCCCTCGTTATGAACGTCACGGTCAGCGGAGATGTGGCTTAGTTTGCTTGTCGCCGTACTATGTAAGCCCTTAATAAATCCTGGGTTTTGGGGGCTTTGCTTGTGGACAATCGGCGCGGTAACCATATGGCCATCCTTCCGCCCCATCAGCGGGACCGGCTTGGTTGATAGTCTTATTAGCCTACCATATAGGTACTTCACACAGTTAAGGGTATCTTGTCGTCTTATCTGGTCCATGCCGAAGCAAACCCTTCGTACGTCCCCAACCCCTCTCCTTGCAACAGATGGTTTCGTGGCTGTGGCGGCCAATTTCGGTGAGCACGGGTGCCTGGCCGGCATAGTATTCAATGCCACAGGGCGTCTGCAACCTTTTTGTGCGCCGGGAACCGGCGTCATAAGTGCTTGGGTATGTTGCATGCGCTTTCCCCCTTTCCCCCCTTCCGCCAAGAGGTAGGGAAGCCAGATTCCATGGACCTCCAGCTTCTGTTGGACTGTCCTGATGCTGCCCCATTGCCCGCTAACCCCTCCTGACCGCAGTCAATAAATATGCCGTACAAGTGCTTCCCCTGCCTTCCGCCATCCTCCTCATCCAGACGTGTACCACGGTAGGTGCTCCCCACTGTGCCAGCCCACATCCCAACCCACATCCAGGCGGACGGAATCCCCCATGCGCAATCCAGTATGACACGACCATCCTTTCGGAACAGCGCAAACTACTTATGTCGAAGCACCCTGCACCGGTGGCAAGCTTCCAACGTAACCCACATACCCATCACGCACATGTCGCATTACGCACTACCCACTCTTCCACCTGCTTTCCAGCCTACCACCCCACCCCACCCCACCCATCCTCAGGTGGTGGTGCTGCGCTCCCTGTCCGCGCTGCGACTGATCCGCCCGCTACCGCCGCTCCGCTCGCTGCCACGTCAGCCGCTGCTGGCCCCGCTGGCCGCCTGCTACTGCCTGCATGCCGTACTGGTGCTGTACAGCCTGGCCTTCCTGTCCGTACCCATGTACAACACCCTCAAGCGGCTCACACCGGTCATGGTGCTGGCAGCCAAGGTACGGAGTGTGATAGCGGTAGGCAATGTACGGCGGTAATGCAAGGAAACCCCCAGCTACAAGGTTTGGCGGAACCAAGCTGTCGAGCTTCACCTTTGGGTACCGGTAGCCGGGTGCCTCACGCCATCAACTTCGGCAGTCACACCTCCCCCCACCTCACTCTTCGCCTCACCTCTTCCCCTCACTTCTCCTCCACCTATCCCCGCCCCTCCTCGGGGTCCTCGCCCAGGCCTGTGTGGACCGCTCGCTGCCCGACGGCGCCACCAGCGGCTCCGTGCTGCTGATCGTGGGGGGCTGCCTGGTGGCGGGGGCGGGGGACCTGGATTTCGATGGACAGGTGGGGGGAAAAAGAAATTCCAAAGTGTGGATACAAGTTGTTACAGGTGGGGGGAAGGGCAGCGCGGGTTGGTTGCATGACAGCGGGAACAGGGACTCGGACCATGCAAGGGTGCGCGGCTACACTCCTAAGTCCCATTGCCCTGTTGTTGGAGCTGCCTTTTTTTATCGCATCAGGTAGCTTGTTCCGCTGCCTGCTGATTTGGCACCTCCTAAGATTCTTAACCGCTCTCCTGACCGGCCGCACCCCGGCGAGTGACATGCCGCTGCTGCCACCCTTTCCTCCTAATCCCGCTTTCACACCGCGGCCACACCGCGCATGCCAACCCCACCCCCACCCCTCCGCTTCGTCCGTCCCTCGCAGGGTTACGTCCTAGCGCTCCTATGCGCGCTCGCGCAGGCGGCTTACATGCTCCTCACTGAGAAGGCCGGCGGCAGCAGCAGTAGCGCGCCTAACACCAGCAGCGGCGGCAGCGGCAAGCGGCATCCCCAGCACCACTACCACGGCTCCGGAGCCGACCTGCCCGACATAGAGAGCAAGGCTGTGAGCAGCTCGGCCACGGCTTATGGCTCCGGCGGAGGCGGTTTCGGAGGCGGTTTGGTGCAGTGCAAACATAAGGCCTCCTTTGGGTCAGGACCCGGCTCGCATCGGGGTGTTGCGGTGGAGGTGCTCGCGCACGGCCGCGGTGACGCCTCCCAGACGCAGCTGGGGCTGCTTGAGTTAGGCAGCAGCGGTGGCGGCGGCGGCGGCAGCAAGGACAAGCTCGGGGAGAGACATGGCGAGTCCGGCGGGGACCCCGTCTCGTCCTCCGCCAGCTACACCGGAGTGATGACATCAGGGGCAATGCAGGCAAGCTGCAGCGACATTGGCGGAGGCACCACCGGCAGTGGCGGTGGCGGATCCCAGCTGCCCTCCCCCTCGCCCCCGACGGCTGCTCCACTATCTGCAACCGAGTTGCTCTACGCGATCTGCGTCACCTGCGTGCCGGCCATGTTCGCTGTTTGCCTGGTGACAGGCGAGGGCGCCCGCGCGCCTGGCCTGCTGGCAGCGCTGCGGGTTCGCATGGGGGCCGCGCCCTTCACGGGCTGGCTAGCCATGACGGCGGTGACTGAGGGGCTGCTGACGGGCAGCATCATCCTGTGCACGCAGCTGAACAGCGCCCTCACCACCAGCATCGTGGGGGTGCTCAAGGGTGCGGTCAGCAGCCTGCTGGGGTTCTTCCTGCTGGGAGGGGTGCGCTTCCAGCCGGTGAATGTGGCGGGCATCGTGATGAACATGGCGGGGGGAGTGTGGTACAGCGCGGTGCAGTATGTACGACAAGGGAAGTCGGGCGGGTAGGCAGGTACACTAGTTGAGGAGGGAGAAGGCTCGAGGATGTGAGTTGGGGGGCGCTGGGCAAGGGTAAGGCGCTAGGCAAGTAAGGCAGTGACAACCAGTGAACAGAACTGTGATGTACAGGCTACCAGCTAATGTGGCGTCATCTCCTTACCTCCTGTACGGCTGCGAGGCGCCCTTGTGGCGTTTATGATCATGATTTAACTTCCTTTCCATGGTGTTGAAGGTTCCAAATAAAGGCTGGACCCGGGAGCCATTGCACGGCGCACCTAACATAAAAAGGATAGGGGCCCACAGTGCTGCAAACGACCCTTACGCGCTCTAGCAATACGTCGTCTTTCTCCCTTTTTTACATGGTGTGCTAAATGCTCCTAGACAGATTGCACGGTACACGCAGTTGAAGTCGGTGCAAGCCATATTAGGACACAAGACCTCGTCCTTCAATACGCTGTTACGGCCGATGATGACTGTCGGCGGTGCAAGCTTTGGGCTGGAATGAGATGCAAGATGCAAGCCCACGCCTGCGGCGTATCAAGCCACGTCAACGCGTATCAGTGCCGTACGTTCTTGCTCTTGGACGTGTGTTACGAAAACTGGCCGCGAGTCGGAATGTACTGTGAAACACTTTCAGGTTGCAGCGCAGTTCGAGCGTACACCCGCAAAGTCGTTGTCCTCTGGGTACCGTAAACAACCCCGAATGGGTTAGTATAAGAAGTATACCGTCCAGCCAGGTCCAGCGAGCAGTAACCGCCCTTTCCGTACTATTTATAGTTATATGGCACAAATGTCAAAAGCCAACCGCCAAAAGGGAGTCCTCAAGTATGCTGAGCGACACGGAAACACATTGGTGAGCCGTGTCCTCTAAAACGCTCAGTCCACCACCCCCACAACATCTCCCTAGCAGCACAGCGCTTATGCTGTAGAACTTACCAGCCGTAAAATGTAACGAACCGTCTGGAGTATAAGCTAGTCGAAGGGTAAAGAGTCTTCAAGTATGACTAATGTATTGGCCCCCACCAAGCAGGTTTATACCTCCCGCCAGCCTAACGGGCCGCTGCAAAAGTGTTCGGCAGTGGCCAGAAATAAAGCGCGTCGTCGGCGCTCAACCCGAATCAACTTTCGTGTACACTGTGCAGTCATCCACGTCTCTTCAGCACATAAGCATGTTAACCTCACCCACACTAACCCAAGCGCACCATCAAGATGTACAAACAAATCCGTTGTCCGCCTCTCCGTTAACCGCTTTGCAAGATAGACGGACAGCCGGTCGAGCCTTCACCTCATTCCAAGCACATCACCAGCGCTAGCCTGCTGTCCCAAGCCGAGAAAAACAAAATGCGGGCTTGGCGCAGCCCCTAAAAACATACCCAGGTCTTAGGCAGCAGGTCTGCAGGCCCCAAGTTAACGACCGGCCTGCATGCTGACAAGTCACTTGCGGACTGCCTGCGCACCACACATAACAGGCAGTCAGGAGCTAGCCGCACAACGCACACATGCCACCACACAATCCTTGCGTGTGCCAAGCTAGGTCAGGATTGTATGCAGCAGCAAAGCTGCCAAGTAAAGCGACGTCGCGGTGGTAAACGTACTGGTCTAGTCCATTCCAGGTAACACCAGTGCGATGTTCCCACCCCCCGTGCGTTCCCCAATACCAGCCCAGTCTAATGCGTCGGTAAAGACATACCACCCCACATGATGCATGACTCAAGATTTTGATCCCAGGCCAGATGAGACATGGCAAGCTCAGCTGACAGTCCGGCCGTACGCGATGCCCGCAATGTACAGGTTCTTGGCCCACTTCTCCTTGACGTGCGAGCTGGGGAAGGCCGAGGTGCGCAGCGTCTCTTGCGTCTCATCCATGGGCCGCCTGGGGACAGGACGGTAGCATAGACGCGTAAGAGCTCGTGTTAGTCATGACAGGTAACCTAGTAGTTGACATCATACCCTTTCCAAAACTGGCCACTTGCGAGCTGAAAGCAAAAGAGCGTGCGCAAGACGTACCAGACCCCACCCCTCCACTATAGCAACACATGCAGTAGCCCACCATGCTAACCCCGGCCCTCCCTTTCCGCCACTCACCGCCGTGGCACGCTGAGCACAAAGGCCGACTGGTCGGGCGTGGCAGCGCATGCGGTGATGCGGAAGCCCGCGTCCCAGCGCCGGTGGATGCCCTCCGAGGGGTACTGGAAGTCCAGCTCCACGCACTGGTCCGCAAAGCCGGCGTTGCGCGACATGACCACCGCCCACCGCGTGTGCGAGGTGGCCATGGAGGTGACGTAGAAGCCCTCCTTCCACTTCTTGTTGATCCACTTGAAGGGGAAGGAGTCGCTGACCTTGTACGACTGCTGCGTGTACGGCGTGCCCTTGGACATGACCACCAGGCTGGCGCCCGACATGGAGCCCGCCATGGCGGTGATGTAGTAGCCCTCCTCCCACTTCTCCATGATCCACTCCTTGGGCAGGAAGTGCTGGCTGAGGTTGTACACCTGTGCGGCGGAACAGGAGATGGGGGTGTCAACCATCGCTCAATGTGCTGATAGAAAACGCTTTGCATGCTAGTAATTGGCACTCTGGACAACCTTCATGGTAATCATGGAACCATGGATATACGACATGACTCCCCTGAAGCGCTCCCCCACCTGCGACGTGAAGCCGGTGCCCGCGTCCATGATGAGCGCCCACAGCTCCTGGCAGCAGGCCACCGAGGAAATGTACAGCCCATCGTCGTTGCCCTTTTCCACGTGCTGCTCCACGCGCGTGTTCGCCACGTTGTAGTGGTACCTGCATGCATGCAAGCAGGGACATGTTATCCTAAATTCCGCATCATGACCAGCCAAGGGAAGGGCTTAAACAGGCCCAAACAGCGCTGAACACTTCCTTACGGGAACGCGGGGAAACGGCATTTACGTATCACCACTAAAGCAAGCCGTGGTACGACGCACTCACCGCTGCTTCATGGGCCGGTGCGCGTTGTACACGGTGATCCACTGCGTCGCCGGTAGACCCAGGCGGACCTTCTTCTTGGGCGCGGCGTCCTCCAGCTGCTCGTCCGCGTCGCGCTGGCGCTTCTGACCCACCTTGGCCGCGCCCTCCACGAGGATGGGCCGGTTGGGCGCGGGCCCGCACAGCGGCTCGAAGAGCTTCATGTACGCCTCGTACTTGGGCTCCTCGTCGAATTTGAGGTTGACGACCGCCTCCGTGAACTGAGGTTAGAGCGGAAAGGAGGGTGTTTCGCAGAGTTCATCAGCTGAAGTTTTGGCGAGGTTTGTCGAGACAGACCTGCGAGTGTAACACCGGCCTTTCACCACAGACCCTATGGCTTGCAGCAACGTGAACCGGGGTTGAGCGAGTGACGGCACGAGACGCAGACCGCCCCAAGCCGTCAAGAGCGACACCAGCATCCAAATGTTTTACAACCCACCTGGCGGAATGCCGGCGGCGTGTAGCGACACAGCATCTCCGCAGAGGTGGACATCTTCTTCTTGCACACCAGGTAGCCCTTGTTGTCGCCCTGCGGAAGGCAGCAAGCAAACATGGTGGTTCTACACAGGCATCTCATGAGACCAACAGCGATCGACTCGCCGGCAATTGCCTCGGCCCCGACCAAGCGCAAGCAAGCGTGCATGATACACCGCATCCGAACGCACGAGATCAGAGTTCCTTATGTAGAAAATGCATGAAGTGGTCGTGTTGCACACGGGTTAAGAACCTATCCCGTGCCGACACGGCCACTTTATCAATCTTCTACTTAGAGAGGACTCAAAAGTTATGCGCCTGGATGGGTATGGGACATAACTAGTATCCGTGCAAGCCCCATAAGACCCCCCTACCTGGTAGCCCTGCCAGGGTAACCGCCCCTTGAGCAGGAACAGCAGGGTGTACGCAAGCGACTCCAGGTCGTCACGGCGACTTGCGGTGCGGCCCAGGTGCGCGTGCACGCTGGCGTAGCGCACCGTGCCCCTGCAGCGTGCCATGGCATAGGGAGTTAAGTGGGACTAGCAAGATGCCAGTCCGCTAACCAAGGCCAGAAAGCCATGCTTATAGTCCTCGCACGCAGGACTAGCAGCGAATACAAAGATGGCCCCCGCGCGCTCTAGCCTCATGTGCGCGCGCAGACCCGCGGTGTTGTGCTCCCTCGACTTCCATGCCACCCACCTGAAGACGTCCGGCCGCTGATCGTACTCAACGTGTGTCCCGCAGACAGCGTCCCGCCACCGCGTTGCTGCAAGCATGGGCATCATGTGCGGGAAAGAAGCTTTAGGAAGTAGCGAGGTTCATCCTGGCATGGGCATGCGGCAATGCGGTTCCTGGGTGGCGTGCCCTTCCGAGACGATGGCCTAACACCCTTTGCCCTGCAACTGGTCTCCTCTTTAAACCGTGAACAGGACCCTTACGAGCCACGTCGCCCCTTTCAACGCAACAGTCATTCTAGGATGTGAAAACAAGACTGCGTTGACCCCTCAAGTGCCACATCCGCGCCAGCCCTGCACTCACCAAGCCCTAGGTCCACCAGATACAGCTTCTTCTCGGTGGGGGTGCAGGGCTGGCCCAGGAGGAAGTTCTCCGGCTTCACGTCACCGTGCACGTAGCTGCATGAGCAAGCAAGGAAGGGACCCGGCGAGCTTAGCCGTGTCTGAAGGATTGTAATTCTACGCTGGCCGTGTGGAAACAACTATCCATGCAGGAAGGGTCCCTATGCAGGAAGGGTCCCTATTCCAGGGCAACAGACTGACTCTTCACTGTTGGGAAACTCACCCCTTGGCATGCAGATCCTTGAGGATGGAAAGAGCCTCCACGGCTATGCATGCGACCATCTCCTGGGACATGACCTGACCCGAGGTATTCCACACGTCCCAGAGGCTGGGCCCGAGCATGTCCATGACCTGCATTATACGAGGCGTAATGTGACGCCCATGCGAGCAGCGTTGGACCTAGTGCCCGAGGTAGGCCGTGGCGGGGGGACCTGAAGCCGGCGTTGCTTACCATGATGTAGTAGTCCCCTTGCCGGCCCTTGTAGTGGACCTTCGGGATACCATGTACTCCACCAAGCGAGCTATGCGAAAGGCAAACGGTGAGAGTGTCAGCACACGTATCCGGGTTTATTGATAGGGCAGTCAACATCCGCAGTGACAGCATCGGGCTTACTTGTATACAGACCACTCGTATGGGGGTCCATAATTGCAGCCTTTAGAGCTTCTATGCTCGAACTTTAGCGCAACCTGTAACGGGAAAAAGTATTGGTATGCTGGCCAAGCAAACGAAGACTGGGGTTTGAACAGACTCTAGATGCGTTGCTGACCTGGTTAGCTTGTGGCCCATCCTTCTGCTTTGTGGTGGATACCCGGCGCCCAACATATACTTGTCCAAAGCCACCCTTTCCAAGCTTGCGCTCCACGTAGTATTCAGGCGACCCACCCACTAGGACCTGCGAGCCGACATATAGTTAAACAACCTGAAAGCGGTGGCCACGGAACGAGCGCCAAAGAAAAAACTCTTTTCCGACTGTCAGAAAAGATATGACCTTGCCTTGTCAGGGAGCGGCGCAGTGCTAGCCTCCTCCTCCTTTACAGGCTTGTCACCTTCCTTGTCCTTGTCAGTCTGACCCTCGCCTTTCATCTCCGGTGCACCTGCGTTCTCTGGAGCCGGAGCTGGCTGTGCTAGCTCCTGGCCTGCTGCGGCAGGTGCTCCCTCTGCCGTTGGGGCCTCCTTCGTATCCTTCTGAATGTCTTGCTGCTTCTCTTGCGCCTGACCACGGGCTGTCGCTGGCCTTCGTTGTTGGCTAGCCACTTGGGCTTCAGCAGCGTTCAGCTCCCGTATAGTCCGCTTGGGAAGAGAGCCTGTGCCGTTAGGCTCGGTCATAGCAGCTAATAGCAATCATAACGTATGTGCGCCGTGAAGGGGCGCAGGTATTACTAAAATGAGGGCAAAAGCAGCAGTCAAAGGTGAACAGCAGGGTCAGGCGACTAGCTAGCGAGGATCGCGAAAGGTTCTTTCAGTTACGCTAGTGTTGGTGACAAAAGCCTGGAAAGGTTGATTCAAGCTGGGTTGGAAAGCAGGGAGAGAAAGCTAAGGGAGAAACAAGGCACGTCGTACGGCTTCCGTACGCCAATTCTTTCTTAGACGTTAAGGGTATTGGGACTCTGGGCTGCCAAAACCCACACTCCTTAAGTGAAACTGAAACTGTACACACGTAATACTTACCACAATGCCCGTTCCCGACGGTACGCGCCCTTGTCGTCTTGTAAACTTAGAGTTCCAGCGATTAAGCACTACGTGTACTGAAAATAGATCCTTTCTTTGAACTTGCAGCTCGAGCTGGCTCATCCGGCTCTATGGGCAAGGGGACGCTGGGCATGGGCGACACACTTGGGCACAAGTCCGTACTCGACAAGCAGAGGCAAGCTGGCCGCTCTTACCAATCGATAAGCATATCACAGCACCTTAAGATGGGTTTCATTCCTTGCAGGGCGGCCATCGACAAGTTGCGAGCCCAGAATGAGCAACTGAAGACGGAACTGCTGCTGGAGAACAAATTTAGCGTGCGACCTGGTGACCCATTCGCGCAGGCGTTGATTAACCGCTTGCAAGATGAAGGCGACATGCTTGCACGCAAGGTGCGGTGTGACATGGCACATTGTGCCTCCTTGTCCCAACAGGCCTTGTAAACACACCCTAATGTATCCCACGCAGATCGTGTTGGAGATGCGGAAGAGCAAGATGTTGGACCAGCAGCTTGGGGAGATGATGAGCACACTCACGCACACCCGCAACAACATGGGTGGCATTTTCTCGGCCAGGGAGCAGTCCGCTGCGGTGCAGAAACGCATAAAGCTGCTGGAGAACCGCCTGGAGAAGGCATACGTCAAGTACAACCAGTCAATCACGCACAACAAGCAGCTACGTGAGCAGATTAACAACCTGCGCCGTGAGCGCATCATGTTCGAGAGCATCCACAGCAACCTTGAGCGTGAGCTGGCGAAGCTGAAGCGCGACATGGCGGACATGATTCAGCAGGCGAACGCCGCGTTTGAGGCCCGGGAGAAGGCCATCTCAGAGATGAACGCCCTCAAAGCACAGGCGGACAAGGAGCAGCAGGGCTTTGAGGAGGAGTGGAGGCAGCTCACGACAATCATCGAGGAGGATAAGAAGGAGCGGGTGAGGGGGGGAGAGGGTGGAGCTTGGGTAATGGAGGCGATGGAAAGGAGGGCCGAGGGGGGCCGAAGGGTATCCCTGGGTGTGGAAGAAGACGAAAACATCATATACGGGGTGTTTACACGTGTGTCGTGCTTCCAATTTGACCTAGTCAGGTTGCCGAATCGGACAACCTGGGGTTGTACCGTAATGTCGGGATGGGCGCTGGCTTTGCCGTGGCCCATGGGCCAGTTGCTCATCCCCCACCGGGTTTCTGAGCAGCCCTCACATGTTTGCTGCTGCATGCACGGCAGCCAGCTCTGGTCTTTCAGCCTACAGACCGCGCCTGTACCGTGCACCTCCCATTTGTATGGCCTTTCCCCGGGTTCATGTGCGGATCGGCACCCGACCACCTCTCTCCGTAATAAACCGCTCTCACGCACCTACAACGCACCTACCCAACCAACCACCCTTACATCCCACTTCCCCTCCCCCTTTGCATCGTCACCACGTCCCCTCCCGCCGTACCGACCCCGCCCCACCTCCACACCCGTCTCGCTCCCCGCTTGCCAGGAGCGCGCCCGGGCCCAGGAGCTGGCCATGCGCGAGCGCGAGACGCAGGAGCTGCTGCGCATGGGCACCCTGTCTTCTGCGGAGAAGAAGAAGCGCGTGTCCAAGGGGCAGTGGGGCATGGGACACAACAAGGCGCTGGCACAGAACGTGGCGGCGGAGAAGGTGGAGATGTACGGCCAGGCGTTCAAGCGGATCCAGGTGGGGCCAGGGGCCAGGAGTGGCTGAATGGGGACAGGGGTTTGGAGTTTCGGTGTGGAGTGAAGTGGGAAAGCCCAGTCTTTCACCTCCAGAAGCCTCACTGCCTTCTCCCACCGTTGCCGTTGCCACCCTTAGATATTCGTGCTACACTGTTCCCTCCCTGCCTGCCCGGATGTTGCTGGCGCTGCTCTTTTTCCCAACGCCCAACCCCCCCACCTGCCTCCCGCCAGGATGCCACCGGCATCGAGGAGATCGACCAGCTGGTCAGCACCTTCCTGGCGGCGGAGGACCAGAACTACACGCTGTTCAACTACGTCAACGAGGTCAACCAGGAGATTGAGAAGCTGGAGGACCAGATCAACGTCATGCGCAGTGAAATCAACAAGTACCGGTAAGAGAAGCGTGGGGAGACCAACCTGGGGAGTAAAAAGTGTAGTCGTGAAGCACTGGAATCCCAGAAACAACGCCTGATGGTTGGGAAGGGGCAGGAGAGGCAGCGGCGCAGCGCATGCAAACAAGGGACAGCCCCAGGACCGGGCTTGGTTGGGCTACAGGAGTGGAAGGGTCATGGGCATGAGCCCTGGATTCCACCACACAGCGTGCGGAAAGAACATGATGGTACTACCCTACGCCCCACCCCTACACACCCCACCCCGCCCCACCCCCTCAGTGAGACCGGTCAGGAGCTGGACCGCACCAAGTCGCGCGAGCTGTCGGAGGGCGAGGCGCGTCTGGCGGCCTGCGAGGCGCAGTCGCAGCTGTACGAGAAGCGCTACGAGAGCGCCATGTTCATGACGGCGGCACTGAAGGCGGGCATTAGCGAGCTGTTCGAGCGCATCGGCTGCAACACGCCGGCGGTGCGGGACCTGCTGGGCGAGGAGGGGCTGACGGAGGCCAACCTGATGGCTTACCTGGGCATCATCGAGCAGCGGACGAATGAGATACTGCAGGTGGGGGGATTGTGGGGTGTGGGGGGGGAGAAGACCATACCAAACCATATAAACCACAGGTTAGGGCAAAGCAAATGGGGATAAAAGAAGAAGAAGAAGAGCTACGCTGTGAAGCATGCGCTGTGCGGGATGGGTGGGCGGGTGGGGATGCGGGTTAAGCATGCGGGTATACGAAGTTTCGAGGGCCACATATTGCAGCTGTTTCCCTGACCTGCAGCTCCCACATGCAACCACTCCACTCCACTCCCCCCCCCTTCCTTCCAGCCTAATGCGGAATATGTATCCCTATTAACCCCTTCCTTCCTTCCTCCCAGATCTACGCCAAGCGCAAGGCGGCTCAGGGCACTGACGGGCTGTCGGAGGCGCTGCTGGCTCAGCCGCTCACGCAGCCGGGCAACCGCATCATCATCGAGCCGCCCTCCACCACTCAGGTCAGTGCACTCGGGCTGGGTCTGAGGGCGGGATGCTGTCCGCCACTCGGATTGGTGGCGGAGGGGCCCAGCAGCGCATGCTAGTCGGAGCTTGGGGTTGCGGCCGCACGGGACTCTTTTTCAGCTGCACGCATGCACCCAACCACAGGGGCAAATATCAAGTTTTACCCAATGAATTCCGTGTTTGTGGAAAGCGCATGTTTGTTACGTTGCGTAAGCTGTTGCCGTTTGTACCGTTCGTGTCCTGCTGGTCACCCCTCAGGAGGAGGAGGTGGAGGGTCTGGAGCCGGAGCCGGTGGAGGAGGACCGCCCGCTCACCCGCGAGCACCTGGAGACGCGCGTGCAGCGGACACTGCCGCGCAAGCTGGAGACAGCCATCAAGGTCCGGCCAGCAGGCGTGGATGCGGCGGGGGGCAAGCGGGGGTCACCGGCGCGGCGATGAGGGCGGCGCAGGGGGACACGTGGGGGCTGGGAGTGTGGGTTTGGGGGGAGGTGAAGGGGGAGAGGTGCGATATGAAGGGTAATGGAGCACTGCAAGGTGTGTTATTGTTCTTAGGTAGGTAGACAAAGGCCGAGGGGCGCTCGAGAGGCGATGCTAGCGCTGGGAGATTGTTTGGGGCTTAGGGGGTAGGTTTAGCTCAGTGACTTGGGTCTTGGAGGGCAGAGGGCAGCGCACTAGTAGACATGACGACATGGGACGCTATGCGGTTACAGATTACCATGCATACATAACGGTTTTGGCCTAAAATGTCTGGTACCTAGGCAGTATGTAGTACGAATATCAGGTGGGGGATGCAGCTGGGACTCGGAAGCTGCAGCCCCAGCCCAAATATACGCGCAGTCGCATGCAACGCAACAATGCCTGCCTGCTTGAGTTGGGAAGGGGTGCATGGTGTTACTGCATGCGTGCTTTGGGGCGTGGCTTACCCCTTTTGTAGCATATACATAAGTTGCATGGACTCCCTGACCTGGTACTTGTTGACATGACGGGGTGTGACCGTTGTCGCGCTTGCTAACGAATGGGAATCCGCTCTGTGCAGTTAAGGGCGTCGGCGCGAGTAAGGGGGGCCTTTCCTGTCCGGCCATACATGACGTGATGACAATGATGTGACGCGCACAGCGTGACTACGAAGGGGGTACTTGTGGCTATGCCGGTATACGACGTGACGGTGCATTTCATGTGTTTTAGCGGGCTAGTTTTCCTGAGGTCCGATGATAACGCTGTGTTGGAAATAACCTAGCCGCGTTGCCTCGTGTTCATTGACTACGGTACATGCTCCTGATGCTCGTACATGGCACGCAGTGCTCGCTGATTGAATGCGTAACTTTGTTTGGATGCGGAATTGCGGCTCCCTCTCAACCGAGCCAACCGAGCTGCCACGGATACCGTCAGGAGCACCGCACCGCACCACTCCTCGCACCAGTAAGGGGCACACGCTGACCATGTCTGCATGATCGCAGGCCGCGACCGTGGCAGACGAATAACACTGGGTGAGCAGCAGTGGCCAGGACAACGCGGGGGGCTGTTACATGCACCTTGCGTCGGCGCATGAGTTGCATGTAGGCTCACGACACGAACAGGACAGAATGCCCGAGTACAGACGCGCACGAAACCCGGGAACCCATAACCGCGGTCCCCTCCTCCTCAGGTCCCCTGCTCCACACCCGCCTCCTCCTCGTACGCTATCTCCACCCGTGCCTCAGCCTCCCGTCGCGTTCTGCTCCCCGTCCTAGCCGCCCTCTCCACACCCCCGCATTGCTCTCCACCACAAGCCTCTGCTCCTCCTCTGCTTCCCTCCTCTCTCCCCACCTGCCCGCTCTCCCCTACCTCCCCACCAGCTCCTGCCACCACGCTCTCTCTCCCACTCGCCTCCGCACCCCCCGCTGCCGCTCCCAACCCGCCTACCCCCCGGCCATCTACCCCGCCCCCTTCCCCCCCTCCCTGCACTCCCCCTCCCTCTCCCTCCTCCTCCCTCCCCGCCCTGCCCACATCCGGGTGCAGCCCCGCCCGCTCCCCGTTCCTCCCCCTCGTGCGGCTCACCCCCAGCCGCGGCAGCCCTCGGTTGAGTCCCTCCAGCAGCACGCACGCCTTGCACACCGCCTGGCTGCTGATGTAGCCGCAGCGCTCGCAGGTGCGCGGCTGCGGCAGCAGCACAGGCTGCTGGGACTGCTGGGGCTGGGAGGGCTGGGAGGGCTGCTGCGCAGTGCCAGCGGGTGCGGGTGGCGCGAGGGGTCCGAAGGTGAAGTCCTCGGCGGAGCGGATGACGTCGATGATGGCCAGCGGGCGAGCAGCCTGGGCATGTTGCGTGAGGGAGGGAGGGAGGGAGGGAGGGAATGGGAGGGAGGGAGGGAATGGGAGGGAGGGAGGGAATGGGAGGCGTACAGGAATTAGGAACCAGCATAGTCCCCAATACCGGCAGCCTAACCCAGGAAGCGCATTAGCGCGGGGCTAGGGCCAGGGCCAGCTTGTGGGAGCAGCACCCCTCCTCACCTCCGCACACCCCGCCCCAGGTCGGCTCCCATGTAGGCACCCCAAGGTAAGGCCGTGTGTCACACAGCTTGTCCGTTTCCTCACCTCCCCGCCCCGCCCCTCCACCTCTCGCCCCGCCCCCACGTACCTCCAGATCCTTGATGAACTCCCGCGCAAAGCCGCGCGCCGCGAAGGGTGCGTAGATGCACTCCGTTGAGAAGTAGTCGAGCTTCTTGTAGTAGGCGTACAGCACGATTTCCTTCTCGTACGCGTACTTGAAGGGCTTCACGCGGGGCAGGGGGCTGTCCTCACCCGTGATGATGCTGGCGCAGCGACCCAGCCTGATGGGGGGAGGGGGGGAGGAGGGGAGGAGGGGAAGGGGAGGGGAAAGGGATAAAGAGGGGACGTGCCTAACTCACCGGCTCCGGCCATATGGGGTAATAAGGGGTACGTATTCCGCACTTTGGCTGGCTTATAGGATTGCGTATCCACCATGGGGTGCAACCCAGGGTTGCCGACCCGTCAACGGGGACGGGGGACGGGGGACGGGGACGGGGGGTGGAGGGAGGAGTAGCGAGGGGACCGCGAAGGCAACAACGGGTAGGAGCATTGCCCCCGGCGACCCGGCCTAGCAGAGGGGGCGGGGAGGAAGGCTGAGGGGGTCGGCGTGTAACAATATGCTGCGTAAGGGTATCACATCCTCTCGCATCATCCTCCCACCCCTCTCCCCCCCCAACTCCCACCTGGGCACATCCCCCCGCAGGATGTTGAGCAGCACCGTCTCCGCCACATCGTCCGCGTTGTGCCCCGTGGCGATCTTGTTGGCGGCGCACAGCACCGCACCGCGGTCCAGAGCCTGAAGGGGGGGAGGGAGAAGGCGGAGGGGGGTGACAAGGGAGGAGAAGAGGATAAAGGTGAGGAGAGGGGTGCAAAGGTGGTGGCGATGTTGGACTACGCCAGGTCCCGGCCTCCTTCCTTACCCACCCACATCACATCTAGCAACTAGCAAGAGCCATCTTGCGGAGGTACCGTAAGCGCCCACATGCGCTATCCACCCAAGCCTCCTGCCTCCCCTCATTCACCTGCCGCCGGAACACCCCGCAGAAGGTGCAGTTGTTCTTGGTGCCAATCTGAGCCACGATCTCGTCCATTGTCCAGCCGTACAACTGCTTGTACGACACAACGGTCAACGGAATGCCGTACTGCTGTTCGTTGCGTTTAACGGTCTCCAGCGAGTCATCACGGTAGCCCGTGATGCCCTCATCGATGGAGAGCAAGAACAGGTCCAGACCGTACCTGAAAAGGTGGGAGGGAGTAAGGGAGGATGGCAGGGGACGCATGGTAGGGTTCAGGGAGCAAGCGGGAGGAGCCATGCGGGGATGTTGACTTCTGCCTATACACGCACCGTGCCTACTCTGCCCTATCCTTGAGACGTTGAGAGGTAAGCAAGGCATAACCGTACAAACCCATCCTGTGGGCAGCCCCAGGCCCCTCCAGGACTAGCAGCTGGCGATATTCAACACCGGGATGTCCTTGCAAAGACCCACCCGTGGCGCGCGTTCAGTGTGGTCATGATATGCGCCAACACCGTGGAATCCTTGCCGCCAGATGCTGCGATGGCTACTCGCTCGCCATGCTTGAAGAGCTTATTCTGGACGATCGTCTGATGTACCTCCTCCTCGAAAGCTGTAAAGAAGCATTCTCGGCATACCTGCATCCATTCCTGCTCGATGAGCGCCTAGCCGACGGCAGTTTACCGGCCTACTGTCGTGCACACCTGCTCTTGTGTCTTTGGTCGCTTAAGAGCAGCCTTTGCCGTTTGGCATCTAGTGCAAAGCTTTGGGGCCATATGCGGGGCAACTGCTTGCAGAGCTTTGGTTGGCTGCTGCTAATTTGGGTTATCAAGACATCCACGCTTAAGAACGCACACTCAATAAGCAGTGAAATATAAACGGCATCGAAGAACTTTAGGCTGGTAGGGCTGCGGGGAAGGCAACTGCAGTTTGCATCGGCTGAACGGCATTCACGACGAACGCAAAATCCAACCCTTGGCCTCTTTGTAATCGTGGTGTTTTTGCAAAGTATAATTGAACCCCAGAAAGCTACAGCGGCATTCTCCCTTCGCCTTTTAGCCCATTCCTCAATTCGGCTTGTGCTTCGGTTCCACGCTTCCTCGCCACAAGATGCGCGTGGGCCAGCGCGCAGGGCCGCGCAACCATGTCGCTTCATCAACATCAATTAAACGCGTGGGTCGCGTCACGCGCGGCAGGATACTTTGCGCTGCAACGGGCGCGGTGCCAGATGCGAGCGTCGTCGTAATAGGAGGCACCGGCCGTGTGGGTTCCTCGACGGCATCAGCGCTAATTAAAGAGTTTCCGAATTTGAAAATTACGCTTGCCAGTCGCAGCGAAATGTCCTATCAGGCAGCGGTTTCCCGGCGACCTGAGCTGTCCAAGGCTTCGTTTCAGACTGTCGACATCACCGACGCTGATTCTGTGAAGGTGGGGCGCCCAAACACGACACCCATAAGTGTAACCCTCCAAGTAGAGAATCCCTCGTATTCTATACCTCCTGACGCAAGTTTTGCAACACAGTGACGCCAGTACGTACGGTCGGTAAGTTGCGTTTATGGGCAGCCGCAGTAAACAACAAGCCGCACAGCCTCCCATTGCCGTCTCGTCTGATCCTTTCACGACCCATACGTCCCCCACTTCTCCCACGCCTCCCTCCCACCCAGTCCCTGCTTCGCTCCTCCTCCGCCGACCTAGTCATCCACACCGCCGGCCCCTTCCAGCGCTCAGCCAACTACTCCGTACTGCAAGCGGCACTCGACCGCCGTACAGCCTACATCGATGTATGCGACGACACACACTATGCGGAGGGGTAAGGAGTAGGAGGCTGGATGTCGGGTTTTGTAGTGGAAATGGGTCGGGCGGGTTGGCGGGAAATGGGTAGGGCGGAATGGGTCGGTCGGGTCTGCGGGATATGGAGTGCAGAGCTGCAAGACGAGACGAGACAAAAGGCACTGTATCTATCTGGTTGCTTGCTCTGCCTGAACCTCATGGTTGGGGGCGCGGGCGGGTAAAGGGTCTGCTAGCCAGGAATCCACGGCTTGGGCATGAAATGGGTGATTCAACAAGCGGCCACCCTAACCATTCCTTCCCGAACCGTCTCCCTGCCACCTCCACACCACACCACGCCTCACCTCACCCCACTCCGCCCCCAACTTCAGTCTAATGCGGAATATGTATCCCTATTTACCCCCCAACTTCACAGCGCCAAGGCCACCTACTCCGCCCCCGCTGCTGCCGCGGGTGTCCCCGCCATCATATCCGCCGGCATCTACCCCGGCACGTCCAACGTCATGGCGGCGCACATCATCTCCATTGCGAGGGGGGAGTACGACAGCGAATGGAACTACCGTACACCCGCGCCGGGTAGGGTACGGCACCTCTCCCCGTGCATGTGGCCCCTCTCACGACGCCCAATATATACCGGTATCTACCCGTGCCTCCTGCCCCTCCCACTTCCCACGCATGGCCCTTGCTCCTTTATCCACCCTTTTTCCGACCCTCCTATGATGCATTCCATGGTGGGCCTTTTCACACGGTTAGTAAGTATCTCCCTCACCTCCCTCTCCTCCCTTCATAAACCCGGACATGGGATAGGGACTCCAATTGCTGCGCTTTCCAATTAGTTACCGTATTTTCCCTCCCCTCCCTCCCCTACCCCCCATTGCTACCCATTTCTACCCCCAATGCTTTGCCCTAACCTGTGGTCTCCTATGCTTTGATGTGGTCTTTGACCCCCCCGGTCCCCTCCAGGTGATGGCATCGACCCCCAGCGGCTGCGCTACAGCTACTACACGGCGGGCAGCGGCGGCGCGGGCCCCACCATCCTGGAGACCAGCTTCCTGCTGGCCGGGGAGCCGGTGGTGGTGTTCAAGGACGGACAGCAGCTCAGTCTGCCGCCCGTGAGCGAGCGGAGGGAGGTGGACTTTGGGCCAGGTGGGGGGGAGGGCGGGGAGATGGAGGGAAGGGTAAGAGGGAGGGAGAAGGGCGGAAGGTGAATGGCTGCCCAGTTGTCCTTCCGCCGCCTCCATAACTGCAGCCTAGCAGAGCCCCAAACCATCTTCACTCATCCCACTCTCCACCCTCCTTCCGCCACACTTCTTCCAAACCCACACCACCCCACCACCCCCCGACCCCCGCCGCCGCACAGGTATCGGCCGCAAGGGCGTCTACCTGTACAACCTGCCCGAGGTAGTCTCCGCGCACAAGGCCATGCGAGTACCCAGCGTGTCGGCGCGGTTCGGGACCGACCCATGGTTCTGGAACTGGGCCATGTGGCTCACCGCGCGCCTCATACCGCGGCGCCTGCTGAACGACCGCACCTTTGTGAAGGCCTTTGCGGCGCTGTCGGACCCGCTGGTCAGGAACGTGGACAAGATTGTAGGGGAGGCGGTGGTGAGCGGGGTGCGGGTGGGGGAGGGTGAGGGGTGTGTGAAAGCAGCTCACATGGACAGGGAGCTGGGTGTCTTGGCGTGGAGGGGGTGATGTGGGTGTGTCGCTATGGGGCGTGGGGATACGATGAAGAAAGCACGGAGGGCATCGGGTGGTTAAAAAGTCCTGGATGTCCATCCCGCCCCATGCTGTCCTTCCTTTCCTTGCTTCCCTGCATACAAGCTCCCTCTGCTCCCCTGCCTGCCCTCCCTCTGCTCCACACATCTTCCATCCCTCTGCTTCCCTGCCTGCCCTCCCCACCTCACTCCTCCCTCCCCTCCCACCCCTCCCCCTCCCTGCAGGCCATGCGTGTGGAGGTTGACCTGGAGGGTGGTAAGAACTCGTGCGGCATCTTCACCCACCGGCTGCTGTCGCAGGCCATGGGCTACAGCACCGCCGCGTTCGCCCAGAGCGTGTTGCAGGGCAAGACGCAGCCGGGGGTGTGGTACCCGGAGGAGCAGGGGGCGCTGCAGGTGGGGTGGTGGGGGGGAAGGGTTGAGGTTTGAGGGTGGTGTCCATTCCTCCATTCGGCTTCTCAGTATTCCACCTCCCAAGAGTCCACTCCTCGTCTGCCGCAGACCTCCCCCCTGCGCTACCCTGGAACCCTTGAGCTTCTACCTTTTGTTACCCCCTCCCGTTCCCCCTCGTTTTGCCCCAACCTGTGATTTCCTATGGTCCGGTATGGTCATTGGTTCCCCTAACCTGTGGTTTCCCGTAATTCGGTATGGTCTTTGACCCCCGTCCCCTGCTCCCCTCCCGTCCCTCCCTCCCGCCCCTCCCTTACCCTACAGGACCGGCGGCAGTTCCTGCAGTTCGCCTCCACCGGCTGCTCCCGATTCGACCTGAACCGCTCCGCATGGGCGCTGGAGAGCGAGGTACGGCAGATCGGGGGGCTCATCTACTGGTGAGGGCGAGGTACGGCAGATCGGGGGGCTCATCTACTGGTGAGGGCGAGGTACGGCAGATCGGGGGGCTCATCTACTGGTGAGGGCGAGGTACGGCAGATCGGGGGGCTCATCTACTGGTGAGAGCGGATGAGTGGGTCAGGCGGTGGGAGGGCCAGGGGTGGCGAATGGCGGTTAGTGGATGACAGCAGCACGGCTCAGCGAGTGGGTTTGTTTGAGGGTGTAGTGGTGTTGAGGGGAAGGAATAGGTGGGCAGGTGTGGGTCAGCACTGTGTTTCGCTTCGGCGTTGACGCGTCTTTGACTGTAGCGACGTGGTTAGCCAGACCCGACCAAGCGGATGTGGGTCGTCCTCGGCTGCTTAACGACCCAGCAGGTCGCTTGCTGGCCCTCTCGTTCTGGTATGTGTATCTTCATGACGCAATTTTGACGAGCGTTACTGCATTTACGGCCATTGAGAGGCGTGAGAGCACAAGTTAGGGGCTGTCGAGACGGATGAGTATAGGTTTCGCAAGCTGCAAATTGACTAGGGGCGCTTTCCCGTTGACGGACTCTGATTTAGGGACCCTCTTAACTTTCCTGGCTGAACTGTTCGTACATAGTGGGACAATGGACAACATTTGGGGCGACAGCGAGATGGGGACCTGTACGGCAGTACGAACCCTGTCGTACAGAGCCCTGTTGAAGGTTTTTGAGGCAGACTTGGAGGCACACCACGAGGCTGGATATAGAGAATCCCACGTTACCTAAACACTCTTGTAAGGATGTGCCTGTCGCACATTACGACTACATTGTACAACCTCTTCCATACAATGATGTAGCTGGAAAGGGTATTGCGAGTGAAGTTTGCGCATCCGTCCATGCGGCTTTGTCATTATAAAATGCACGTGATCCCGGCACCGGCGACGCTTGGCAGACAACAGCAAAGCAGCCTTCGCAGCTGCTTGGGACCGTCTAAGACACCCACATGACTAGCTTAGGAGCCAATGCCATAGGTGCAGGAGCGGCCTTGGCTGACCAACGTCACACTCAGGCCATGCGATACCAATATACCGGTACCATGTGTGCTCCCAACTACACACCGGTAATATCGAAACCCCCGATGACCCAACCCCATGCTCGCTGATCAGCACCCCGCGCTGCTCTCAACGCTCGCTTATAACATGCGCAACACACGCCGCAGCTACTGCCGTTGCGCTCACTGACTGGCTTGCCAATGTCACGCTAATATGCATCCGTACGGTTGAAACATACATGAGATGCTAAAGGTACAGGACAGTTGTTCGCGTGTCGCCCACCGGTTCAAAAAGTCCCTTGTTGCGCCGCTCCCACTCCGCGATACGAGGCCAATCCAAGGTTTTGAACACGGCGACATTTATACACCTGAATGAGCTGTAGGTCCGAACACACATCACTTAACTACGCCGACACTCTCAACGTCCGTTGCTCCCAAAGCGCATCCGCGTAAAGCCACCAACTACACACATACACACACATTGAGCGTCTCACAGCAGTCTACATGCATGCAATGCGTCACACTTTCATATGAGTTCGAACATCTTCCTTACCCCATCCCTACACTCCCTATACAAACGCTGCCACCACCATCACCCTCCGCAAGCCTCGTACATTCCTTGCAAATACTTCGCACAAGCGGCTACAGCTGCACTTTGCAGAGGGGCTTTGCCCTTGAAAGAAGTCGCGCCAAGCACGTGCAACCTCACATATACATGGACTTCCAAGCACCGGCCCCGCCCCCCCTGCCGTACCGCCCCCTGCTGCCCTCCGCCCCGCTGCCGTACTGCTCGTCCCACTCGGCGTAGCGGGCGGACTGGTCCATCTCCGTGCAGGAGATCACCTGGGGGGCAGGGCATGTTTTGCGGCAGGACAGGTTTGGGGCATGGGCGGCAGGGCGGCATGATGGGGCCACGGGGGGTGAACAAGGCGGAGTAAGCAGGGGCGCCGATGCGTGGTGGTTGGTCAGGGGAAAGCAGGGAGGGAAGTCAAGCTATGCCTCCGTAGCCACCTTCAATATGCCTCCGTTTACTGCATGGCCGCATGCATGCATCCTTACGACAGCCCCGCCTCTAAGAAAACACAAACTCGCCCCACCTGCAGCGCCGCCTCCACGTCCTCCGCTGTTACCGCCCTCACCGCACTCGCGGGCAGCTGCAGCAGCTCGTTCAGGCTGCGAGCCACCACCGCCGGGGGGCCAGGAGGCTGTGGGGGGGCTGGAGGCGGTAGCTGGGCGGCGGAGGAGGCGGTGGCGGAGTTGATGGCTGCGGTGCAGGCGGCTAGGGCTGCTGCTGCGGTTGTACTACCTGCTTCCGGCCGGGATGCCGCGCCGTCAGCAGTCGCAGCTGGCGCATCAGCGCCAGCAGCTGCCAGGAGGCTGTTGCCGGGTTGCACGGCGCTGCCAGTGCTGCCAGTGCTGGGGATGTCGGTGGGGCAGCCCGGGTCGGCAGCCGCGGCACCAGCAGTGCTGCTGCTGCTGCCGCCGTTAACCCCGGTCGCAGCCTCTACGGCCTCAGACCCGGGCTCGAGAGAGGGAGCCCCTTGAGGGTCCGCGACCGCCCCACCGCTACCTGGCTGCCCCTCATGCGGCTGCTGCTGCTGCTCTCCACCCTCCTGCCCAGCTTGCCCCTGCTGCTGCTGCCCTGCAAGCCCGGTCTGCCCCTGCTGCCCCTGCTGCTGACCCTCTCCCTGCTGCTGCCCCTGTCCTTGCTGCCCCTCCCCGCCCCCGCCCCTCCTGCTCCTCGCCTCCCGCACCCGCCCCTCCGCCTGCCACATCACCGCATCCACATCCAGCCAGCCAGCGGAGTGCCGCTGCTTCCACCGAGCCAGCGTGCGGCGAGCCTGAAGGGGAGGGGGAGGGGGGCGTGAGGGATAGCAGGAGGCGCACTGTATGACGTGCTTCCCGAACGTTGGCTGGTTTTCTTCTTCGTTCATCTAAAACACATCAATAGGACTCCCCCCTACCCGCGTCACCGCGCCGCCTGCCCTCACCTGCTTCTTGCTCCGAGCGTATCGGTCGCCGCCGCCCCCCCGCCACCACCAACCCCACCACCAGCGCCCCTGCCCCCGCCGCTGCTCTCTGCTGCTGCTGCTGCCACTGCAGCCGCTGCACCTCCCCGCCGCCACTGGTCCTCCCGCCGCCCCTGCCGCTGCTGATGCCCCTGCCGCTGTCGCCGCTGCATCCCCGACAACCACTTCAGTTGCCTGCCCCCGCCCCGCAAGCTGCACCTGGCTCCCTGCCGTTCCCGACACAGCCCCCGTTACAGCGCCTGCTGCCGCTGTTGTCCCTTCTCTGTCACCCCCGCAAGGCTTCTCCCCATCCGCAACCCCTCGAGCTGCCTCCTCCTGCTCCCCCCCCGCCTCCACCGCTGCCTCCTCCCCCTCCCCCACCGCCGCCATCAGACAGCTGGCCACCAGCTCCACCAGCCGCTGGTGGGCTGCGGCATGGCGGGGGGACAGCAGGGCGCTGGCGGGAGCACCGCTGGGGGGGCTGCTGCCGGTACCGGTGGCGTTAGTGCCGCTGTTACCGCTGCCGGTGGGTGTGGTGGCAGCGGTAGCGGTGGTGGTGGTGGTGCTTCTAGCTGAGGGGCAGGTGGTGTCAGCTGCTGCTGCTGGGGGTGGTGGTGACTCGGGCTCCAGCAGGCGTCTGCCCCACAGCTCCCGCAGCGGTCGCATGGCGGCCTCCCTGTAGGGGGGTGAGGAGGCAGGGGGGGCAGGCGGCAGGCGATAACGCGTGGAAAGAGGGGAGGAGGCACTGGGGAGGCGCTGAACTTCATGGCAGGCGGCTACGAAGCACGATGTGGGGCTGCAGGGCGGGAGAGGCAGCAGCGATTGCCCTAACGGGTGGGGGACGTGGCTCATGCCCTGCCGCCCTCGTTACTACTGTAGAACGACACCCCACCCCCCGCCCCCGCTCCCGGCCCCCCACCTGCAGACCTGCACCAGGTCCCGACCCGAGTACTTGTCGCACCGCTCCGCCAGGCGCCGCCAGTCGGGGTCGGACAGGGAGCAGGACACACCCTGGGGCGGGGGAGAGGGGGAGAGCGGGGGGAGGGAGGGGGTGCGCGGGGTGAGGTAAAGGGGTTAAAGAAGAGAAGGGAGAGCGCAAGGGCAGCGTAGGAAGGTGTTGCCCCCGCCCCCCTTGCATGCACCCGCATGCCCCCACCTGCATGGCCCTACGCATGAGGGCCTCCCGGGTGGCGGGGTCGGGCAGCGGCACGTAGATGCGGCGGGAGAACCTGAGGGGGGGGAGGAGGGGAGGGTGGGAGGGGGGGTAAGGGCGGGGAGGGGTCGGGGTTTGCGGTGAGGGTAGCAGCGATCTAACCTCCTGCCGAGACGTTTCGTGCTCCTCTAATGCAGGTTCTTCTACAATAGGCGAGGCCACGTTTAAACACCTAGCAAATCAGCACATTACGGCACCCCCCTTTCCCCCCACCTGCTGAGTGCCGCCTCATCCAGGTCCCAGGGCGCATTGGTGGCGGCGATCACAATCACACCCCCCGGACCGCCTCCCGGACCGCCTCCGCCGCCCCCACCGCCCTGCGGCTGCTGCCGACCCTGCCCCTGCTGCCCCTTCCGCCCCTGCTGTCCCCCCTGCTGCTGTTGCGTCTGAATGCCGTCCATGAAGGCCAGGAACTCGTTGGTGACTCGCTTGTCGGGCGCGGAGTCGCGACCCTCCGACCCCCCGCGACGACCCAGCAGAGAGTCAACCTTTTGGGGAGGGGGGTGGAAGAAGGAAATGATCAAATGAAGCGACTGGAGTCCCATTCCCGTATCCCGACTCATGCAGTGAGCGGTGAGGGGTTGGGGGTGAGGGGTTGGGGGTGAGGGGCGGGAGCAGGGTGGTGGTGGTGGTGGGGGAGTGCGGCATGTGGTGCTTTCACCTTCGTCCCCCGCCCCCAGCTGTGAAGCCCGTTAACTCATTATACAGCTCGCGAGTTTCCTCTTTTTGCCCCCCAATTGCGCACCCCACCTCACCCTCACCGCCCCACCTCACCGTTACCACCCCTACCGGCATCTCCTTCTCCCCCCGCCTCCCAACCCGAACCCGCCTCACCTCATCGATGAATATGATGGCCGGCTGCCGCCTGCGCGCCCGCTCGAACAGCGCCCGCACGTTCTGCTCGCTCTGGCCGTACCACATGGACAACACACTGCTGCCTGGGGGGGGGGGCAGGGAGGTGGGGTGGGGTGGGGTGGGGTGGGGTGAGAAGGGGGTAGGCGCAGGAGAGGTACGATCATGATGTGCATCAGTATCTGCCATCATTTTCCGTGATAATAACGGCCTGCAGTCGATCACCTGGACTACCCCCCACCCGCCCCACGCCTTATGACACGGTTCGTTAAAGTCGTTTCCTCTTTACCCCCCCCCCCCCGCCCCCACCTGTCATCCCCGCCCCCCCCCACCTGTTACTGGGAAGAACGCCGCGCGGCTCTCCGCCGCCACTGCCCGCGCCAGCAGCGTCTTGCCGGTGCCGGGGGGGCCGAACAGCAGCAGCGCCCCGGGGGGCTGGCGGATGCCCTGAGGGGGGGGATCGGGGGGGCGGGGGCGGGGTAAGGAGGAAGGCCCTAACTAACCGTGTGACAAGGCACCATGGTCCATGGGGGGTGGAGTGGGTGGTGGTGGGTGGGCGGAGAGGCAGGCGGGAAGCGGTACGGGGCGAGAGGGGGGCCTTAGGCAAGGTGCGCCCTAGCGCTGGGCTTAGTTGGGGAGGCCCCTGCAGCCCCTGCCTCTGCCGCACTGCCCAACCCCACCCGCACCCCACCCGCACCCCACCCGCACCCCTCCCGTCAGCCCCGCTTCAGCACCCCGCCACCCACCCAGCCACCCACCTGGAAGAGGTCGGGTCGCAGCGTGGGCAGCACCGTAGCCTCCTGCGCGGGGGGGAGGGGGGGCAGGGGGGGGTGCCAAGGGAGGAGGGAGCACGCGGGTGGGGGGGTGAGGAGGATGGAGGTGGGGGTGGGGGAGGAGATGGGTTCACCCTGGGGCGGGTGGGGTTGGGAGGCGGCCACCTATCGACTCCTCGCCCAACACCTCAACACCTCCCACCCACCACCCCATCCCACCCCACCCCACTCCTCCCACCTGCAGCAGCATCTTGACCTCCGTAAGACCCGAAATGGACGACCACGTCACCTCTGGGGGAGGGGGGGCGGGGCGGGGTGGCAAAACCACAAACGTGTGGGGTACAGCAACAGGTGTACGGCTTTAATGTTGTACGATACGTCAACGTTTTGCTACCGCTTTTGCAATACCGTACTCCACCCCCTTACACCCTGCTTTGCAGCCCACCTTTCCTCGCTCCTGCGCTCCCTCCTGCTGCCGCCGCCTCCTCCTGCTGCTGCTGCTGTTGTCCTGCCGCCTGCCCCTGACACGACCCCGACTGCCCATCAGCCCCTGCCGCGCCTGCAGCACCCCCTCCCCTCCTCCCGCCTCCTCCTCCTCCCTCTTTGCCTCTTCTCCTGCCTGCTGCTCCGCTGCTGGCGCGGCCGCTGCCCCCCCTCCCACTGCCCCCCAGCAGCTCACTCAGTTCCTCCAGGCCCCACTCCAGGTCGTCATCATGAGAGGGGTGTGAGGAGGCGGCGAAGGAGGAGGCAGGGTGGGAGGGAGGCGCTGCGGCGGCAGCGGAGGAGGGGGAGAGGGACCGGCCGCGGGAATGTGGACGGATAGGGCGGATGGTGGGCGCCTGGGTGGTGGGGGCGCGGTGGGTGAGAGCAGGGGCGGTTGAGGGTGGCAAAGGACGGCTGTGGGCCACCTCATCAATACAGGGTGGGCATTGTGGAATGCGCCTGGTGATAACTTGTAAGCTTAGTCATGAGGGGTTCACCCATGCATGTCCCGGCCCATGCCTCACCTCGCCGCCTTCGTCTCCATCATCCACCAGTGCGTCACCGCCAGGATCCACGAGCGAACCCACAAGCTTGGAAAGCTCGCGCTGTAGCAGCCTGACAAAGATGATGTCCTCCCAAAGCTTCTGGATGGTTAGGATGGTGATGACCACCCCGCCAAGCGCCTGAAGACCTCCCCAGGCGGAACGTAACACATTTTCAAGATCGCTATTTGATTCTCTGCTACGCGCATGGTCCTTGTCCAGGTCGGTGCTGCGGATGTCCACGACAATGCGCTGCTGTTGTGAGGACTGCGGTGCCACGATACGAGTAATGTGACGACCATCGGAACTTGCCGGCGCGTGTTCGCGTTTAGGGTTGCTTTGGAAGTCGGCAGGGCGCAGCGGGTGCGGTTGGTGTTGCCCCGTATCCGTCGACCCAACATTGCCTGAATGTCAATCAATAAACCTTTATAAGTAATTTTGGGTAACTCATACAGCTGAACCTGAGCCACCATCGCAGCGAGACATACCCATGGGGCCGTCCTCCCCTTCTTGAACAGCCTTGTGGAAATTCAATTCTTGCCTTAAGCTAGTTAGGGGTTGTCCTTTACACGCATAAAAGTTGAGAATTTACGACAAGACACGTGCAGCGTGCGCGATACAGCCTCAGGTTAAGATGTCTCAAAATTAAATCCTTCATGTAACTGGCAGTAATGACCCACATCCAGTTACTAAAGGTGAATGTTAGCAGGGCTTGGCAAAGGCCATGCTGTCAACGTCCCAAGCACCAGTCTGGATCCTATCGTACAATTTGCGAACAGCCAGGAAACGTCTCCAAGGACGGGCGCAGCGGAACTACCCCACTGCCGGCGCGCTAGTCAGCTACTGTCCCTGGTCAGCAACGTCTTCAAGTACCCCTTCTAGAGCCCTGCAGGGGTTTACAGGGATGAGATTGATGCTAGTCCCGTACGTTCCACCCAGGTGGCAACAGCCAACTTACTGTAAATCCACCCACAGCCAACGGCCAAGCATGCACTGGTGTTGTAGGTCAACGACTCATCCAACCCCACTAGGATGCCTACTGCTACGGCCATCAACCATGCAACAGTGTCCTGACAGCGCCATGAGCAAGTGCCGTTAAGCTCATTCACGTTCCATGTGATCTATACACAAGTCCTTTGAACCCAGGACTTTTAGCTTCCGGCATTCAGCTTATCATTGCTTGGCCTGCTGCCAACAAAGTCGCTCCTCCAGCAGCCAGTACCTGCGTGGCCCAGCGTTGCTTGCCGAGCCCTTCGAGGCACGCCAACCTCCAGCAGCCAGGTGAGGGTGGCATGGTCGTCGTGGCTGGCGGCCGCCTCACCCGTACACCTGCAAGAGTTAGATATTGTGAACAGATGGTGTAGCAACTTGGTGTTTGTGCCCTGCTGGCGACCCACCATCGCGGCTGGGATTGTGGGAATGATGGGGGTGGTAAGTGGGGTGCCCTGCATCATCTATATCAATCATACTTACCTGGCCCGTTTCTCGAGGTGGTCCAGTTGGCCTCGGTTACACGGTTGGACTTCGCCTTGCACTCCGCGAGGGCCTTCCGTGGTCGGCCCTTCGGGTGTCCGGCAGGGCTTAATTTTTGAAAGGCTGAGGATCTGCGCACTGCGCGACCTCGGCACCCAGTTGTAATATAGCTTTTTCGAGATCGATCCGTCGCATGCTGGATTTAGTAGGCAGGTCAGGGTGGCCCTGGGATGGGTGGAGGATGGGGTGGAGAAAAGTGGACTTGGAAGCATGATGATCCAGCCGTTTTGGCTGGGGCGACAATGAGGCTCGCTTGTGGCTACGAGAACAGATGGAGAGTTGTTGCAGAGTGACTGCTACAATGCCGGTCATAGGGTGAAGGATACAATACCGGTATTGGATTGGGTGGCAGTGAACTAGGCCGCCGCGAAGCACAGGCCATGACGCTGGCTGCACTGGTGACCCGCGGGTCCCAAGTGGGTCTCCACTGGAGTAGATCGTCGTTACCACATAATTCATGTACCCACATTTGCCAGGGCCTACGGGCGACCCGACCCGGCAAACGTGTCGCGACCTTCCATGGGACTATCTAACCCCTGGGACTACCTAACAGACGGGCAGGCAGGCAAACCTTGATAGCTAGCGTACGCCTGCACTCCGTCCCTCCATTTCGCTCAGGCGAATGGCCACCATGCATGCCATGCACACACGACTGATCACCCTAACATACTCATCTTCACTTGCACTATAGCACCCTCTGTGCACAATCACAACACATTGCCTATCCGCATATGCCCGTCTTTTACCAGTATTCTCTCAGTCCCCGCCGCACCATGCCAGTGCGTGCACTGTAGTAAAGGTAAGTGCAAAGAGTCCCCAAGGGTGCGCTCACCACATAGAGACGCGCCATTTGCCCCGCATGCACGCATGCACCCCTCCCCACCAGGACTCGGCCTCTCCTCCTGCCGTTACACCCCGCCCTACACTACATGCGCTCATGACAGGAGCCACCGCACCGCCTCCCCCACTCCAGACCACCAGCAGTACCCACCGCTGCAGTACTGAGTGCAGCCATCAGCTTGTTGCGGGTAAAGCATGCAGATGCCCACATACAGCAGCGCTCTGACAACCGCCGAGTGCGTCAACTAGAACGAACAGGCTGTGTTGACTTCTCAGTGAATCGCTCCACACGCAATTCCTGACAGCGAAGAGGCAGGTGAGAGACTCCGAAACAAACAACTCATTCAGTCGTGCTATTATGCCCAGCAGAGCGCCAAAAGGATAACAGCCCCTTGGGAGCGTTGGGTGTTTAGTAATGCATTGGCTATATGGAGTCATTTGCAATACTAGCTACCACATTGATAAGGATGTCTACCAGTACACTTGATGTATGCACAACCCCCCTCCTTTAGCACCTGCGGGGTACAGAAATCTCTCGAGCGTGCTCTAGCATAGCATCAACAACATACCGAGCGCAGTACAGTTCCCAAACACGCTTCCGACCGCGTTTGTTTCATTAACTGCAGGATCTTCAGTCTTCCATGCGTGTCATCAGTACCATGCACTGCCTTGCAGTCTCCGCTCTATGCTGCAATTTAAAAGCCTTGGTTCGCCCGGCTTTTGCCGCTTTGCTGCCGCTTGCCGCTATCAGATGCAACCACATGACATCTCCCTACACCTTACCATACACAGGAAGCATGGTTTGCCATCTTCACCATGTACTGTATCCCCTTCAAGAGTACGACATATACCGACTCTCATCAACAGTAGCTCAGCACCCCTGCCATACTCGCCACGCCCCGAAACCACTCTCGCGCCCCCCATCTCGGCACCCACCATGAGGCCGCCAGTGCCGCCGCCGCAGCAGCAGCCGACACGGGGGTCCAGTTGGCGGTGCTTGGCGTGCGCAGCTGCCAGCGGGGCGGCAGCAGCAGCAGCAGGGAGCTGGACAGCAGCCACAGGGCTGCCAGACAGAAGAGCGGGCGACTGGATGGAGGGGGGGGGTGCGAGGTACCGGTACGTAGTGTGGCAGGCAAACAGCAGTAGGGCACACATCAGGAGGGGCTGAGTAGGGGATTCGACACTCGGCATCAGGTGAAGCGCACGTGGTGCATGAAAAAGCCGACTTCCCGCCCGTCGCCCAACAATCTGCTTTTTATGGTAAGCTACGTTACAGGTAGTTCACGTGCATAATAAACCTTATCTGGCCTGCAGCCCTCACCTGGCGCGCCCCAGCGTAAAGCCGCCCACATGCCGTACCCGCTGCGTGCCCATGTCGTACACCGCCGTACTTGCGGGCAGTAGCCGCAGCGCAATTGGCAGCAAGTACGACATGTTGATTGCAATCATGAGGTACGACAGCGCGCCGTCAATGACCCAGTCACCTGCCAGCAGCAAGAGCCCAGGTGCCAGCGCCGCTGCCGTACCCACTGCAGCTGCTCGTACAGGCACTCCAGATCCCGTTGCACCGATGACCCCGATCCAGGCGGGCAGGAAACCGTCGGAGGCCATGGCCCAGAGTTTGCGACTGAGGCCCGCACAGCAGACCAGCCCGGTGCCGTACGTGCCAATGGTGACGACAGCGATGAGGTTGGGAGCGCCGTGGCCTGTGCCGTACACGGATTTAAGGGTGTCGTACACAACTTGTGCTACGACATCCTGCCTGGGGTTGGGAGAAGAGGAGGATGGAAAGAAGAAACGTTTGCGTGCGTATGTGCATGCGCCAGGCCCTGGAAGGCTGCTGTGAAGGGAACTAGATAGGATGCTGCCCTGCCTCCAACCCCAACCCGCAAGGTGTAAGGAACCAAACATGGCTCCAAACACTATGTGAGCATCTGGACACCAACTTCTTCACAAGTCCCAACTAGCTCAGCATAAACGGTGTACATGCTAGCTTGCACCCACCATCCAGGTTACGCAACCCTGCCCGGCCCCTCTCCCCACCCTAGTGTTTCATTGCTCGGGTCCACTGCCCCCTCCAGGGAGGGCGCAGCAGCGGCCAGCAGCAGCAGCAGCAACACCAGCACCGTAACGCTGCTGGCCGCCAAACCGAAGAAGATGGACTCAGGCACCGCCGACTGCATCCGCCAACCGTCTCTTCCGCTAACAAGGCTTTCTTGTTGTGGCGACGGCGGCGTTGGCGGTGGTGGTACTCCGTCATCCTTGGGACGCAGCAGCTGATGCAGCCGGTGCACTTGCGGTCCCCGCTCATGTTCTCCTTCCTCTTCCTCCTCCTCCTCCTCCTCTTGAGTTTCCTCTCCTCCTCGCTGTCGCTGGTGTTGTTCTTGCTGCTGCTCCTGTTGTTGTTGGTGGTGGTGCAGATGAGGCGCAGCAGGCGGACCAGGGAAGGGAGGCGGCGCGGGCGCATGGCCCCAACCTCCGGATGACGTCACACTGCCCCCGCCCAGAGGCTCTAACATCCAGCCGCCAATTGGCCGCCCTGTGGTGGCAGCTGCGGCAGCCGCGCCAGAACCAGCAACACCGGGAGGGGCGTCGGGGGCGCTGATTGCTACTGCACTCGCCCTAATCGTCACCGCTGCAGTGTCCGCGACCGTTGCCATTGCCGTTCTGACGAATGGTGTTGGCGACCCGGGTCTTGCGCTGCTGATGCCGCTGCTGCTACCGCTTCCTCTGGTCAACGGAACAACAGCGTTGTGGCCCCAGCCGCGGAGGCGGCTGAGGCTGAGCCTCCGGTTACTGTTGCTGCTGCCGTAGCCGGAGCCCGTCTTCACATCCAAGCTGGCATTCCTGCGTCCAAACCTGCTAAAGTTGGTATCCTGACTGAAGCGGTTGTCGGTTGGCAATGGTCCGGTGGTGGTAGCAGTGGTAGTCGTGAAGGCAGCAGCGACTCCGGGTGGCGCTAGGGAGCGTTGCAACTGTCGCGAGTGCAGTTGCTGTTGCAGTTGCTGCAGCTGCTGTGGGCCTCCCGCATGCAGTCCTGGTTGCCGCTGGTGCTGTTGCAGAGTCCGCTGCTGCCGGCGCTGCTGGTGCTGTTGTTGTTGTTGATGCTGTGCACGCCGTTGCATGCCCGCTGGTGCCAACGAAGCCTCGCTTGCCGGCTTGCCGAGGGTGCTACGGCGCCGGCGCCGGTGTACGAGCATCTCCTCGTAGAAGTACAGCACAGTTTCGTACCTGTACGGCGTCAAGATCTTGACATCGCACCATGAAGGAGGCTCATGCATTCAGAGGTTTGAACTATTTCACATACGTTTCTCCCCGATCGTATAGCCCCACAAAGCAGAGCCAATGCATGCCGCCTGTGTGGAATTTGTCGTACGCCCCTTCTTCAACCTCAGCCATGCACATGGTCGTGGTAACGGCAGGTTCCTAACACCCAGCCACGCATACGACAACTCACCCAGTTTGCCCGTTAATGGGGAAGAGCAGTGTTTGCAGTACGTTGTACGGCGCACTGCTGACTGTGGAAACATGTTTGTGAATGCGCCATGCAGTCAGGATGTACGACAATGATGCTCTGCGCGGCGACAGCGCCAGAAGCGAGGTGAAGAGGGCAGTGCCGCTTAACACCTGAAGCAAGAAACGGGAGTGCCTGTAATGTGCGTATGTACCATTAGGGCTGCAGCCTCCAATAAGATTGACTCCTCCACCTCAGCTATAGCCCTAAACCCAAGCAAGTGCGCTGATCCTCCTCACACTCACCCCGTGTGTCCATATGCTCTCCTACCCACCTGCTACCCCCCTTCCCGTGTCTCGGCCCAGCCCTCTACCCGGCAGCTTCCCACCTCTCACCTGCCACAGCGACGCCGCGGTGATGAGGCCCGCCGTGACGCTCAGCGGCGCCGCCACCAGCGCCAGCCAGGACAGCAGTACGGTGCAGTACAACGCCAGCTGCTGTACCGGGGTCAAGCTGTACGACGTGTCCGCTGGGGGACATGTGACACCATGGGCGTGCGACAGGCGAGTAGGAGCATGTGGGGCACGGGGGGACATATCAAGGCTTCAAACGAACGTTGGTTAACCAGAGAAGAGGGCCGGATTCTGTGTTAGCCTAACGGCGGCTGCTTAAAAGGTGACAGGATTGATGTGAACCTCAAAGTGCACAGATACATAAGGTGCACGCTAACACCAACATTATGCGCAGTCGCAGTAGCACCCTGCTATGAAACACCTTCGCAACGCTTTACGGCCGGCTCCATCACGCGACAGCCGTCCGATACTACCTATCTGGGCTTCTAGTACCGTACCTGCGTCGTAGGGCAGCGGTGCTGCTGCTGCAATCCTGGCCAGCCTTATTGCAGAGCACAGAGAGCGGGTTGTGGCGATGGCGAAGTAGGCGGTGGTGCCGGCTGAGGCGGCGAGGTTGGCCCAGCCGGCAACCCATGTAGCGGCAGCCTTGAGGGGGCTGCGGGAGGCAGGCAGGGAGGCCCAGGGCGAGACGGAGAGAGGCGAAGCTGATTGGGTTCAGCTCCTGTTTCCTCATATGTCTCTAAGCGTAAGGAGTGGTAACAGCTACCGGTACCTGCCACTGGATGTGAGGCGCAATGAGACCAGGCGCGAGTGCAGCGCGGCTGCGGCGTCCTCACCACACCCGGCGGCGCTAGATAAGCATGTCAGGTGCTGGTTGCATGCCAGATGCCGCGTCAGGCCATTGTTCCACAATAATGCTGTCAACCCAGCAACCCACCACACGCCACCACCGCTTCCAACACAGGAGGAACACCCACGCCCCAAGCTAACCCCAACCTACCAACCCCACAGCCTCCCTTCCCTATCCTCGCCCTCGCTCCTCACCCCGGCGCCAGACGCGCCGTGAAGACGTATAGCGAGCCCACCGCCGCTGGCATGCTGGCCGCCATCTCCGCCAGACACAGCGCCGGTAGCAGGTTGAGGCAGCTGCCCGCCAGCCAGCCCCACACCAGCCCCGCGGGGCCGCCGTGCACGTAGCCCTGGTACAGAGTGTCTGGTCAGGGAGGGCAGGGGAGAGAGGCAAGGAAGAACCATATGACGTGACTTCACCGTGACTATTGGTATGACACGACTTCACCATGGGCTGCAATATAACAGGGAGAGGTGGAGGGGAGGGAATGGTAGGAAGTAGTGTGGGTGCAGCAGCATGCTGCAGAAAGGGAGGTCGAGATAGCGCATGGCAAAGGGAATTTTGCAAAAGATTTGTGCAGATCCGTTCGTACCTTTAGGCGAGAACACCCAAAGCACGCCAACCGTGCTAAACGTGATGCAGAATGCGTTTACAGGAGTCAATTCGCGACGGAAGGACATTAATGGCTATGAATGCTGGTTATTGCGAGCATCGTTCGCGGAAGCGGGCTTGCAATGGCCATTCGAGGGAGTGTCTCAGCAACTGGCGTCGCGCACCCCTATTCCCAAACGAAAACTGCTCATAACTAACGTTTTTAGCTAAAATACTGAAGTGTCAATCACAGATATAGGTTGTGGTCCATATGTCACAGCAATGGTGTCAAAGCTGCTTGGTCGTTGGCGGGCTTCTACTCTATGACTCGGCGTTTCTTCATTTCTTTTAATGTAAAATAGTATATGACAATTATTTGTACATCTTTATGCAAACAACCTGCCGGGTTATCGTAGTCGTGGTTAGGGCTACGAACCGCCGTCGGAGCTCAAAGCTGAGACTGTCTTCCATGGAGCTGGCTATCGCATATTATACCGCAAGATGCATGACAAAACGCTTTACTGAGCGAAAAACAATCGTTAGGTTTCGTATCATTGCCGACGTACTGCACCGCATACGAGCTGCAGAGCACAGTCCATTCGCCTTATTTTGGCGTTAAGTCGCGCAGATGGTATTTGCTGATTAAGGTTAGGATGTGGAGCCCGTCTGCTAACACCTTTTCAGCTTGCAAGCTAGTTTGATCAATGTTACAAAGGTGTCTCGACGCCGTTCATGTCTTCTTATGCCGAAAGGCAACGGCCCGTTAGCCTGATGTTGTACATCTCAATTTGCGCAGTGGAAAGTGTTGCCGCAGCGCTCCGCAGCTCCATAGGTTATTCCACAGCCGTATCGGTTTGCTACACACAGCGCTCAACCAACTGAACACAGGCTTTACATTCGCATGCATCTTAGCATCCGCAGCAATGCATCTACGCAGCTTGGAGACCATGCACCCAAGCTACCCTGCACCAAATCAATTGATGCCGTACAGGTTTTACGTAATTCGTCCCGTTCGCTTGGCGCCTTGTGTTCAGTGGCGTGTACCGGTACCAGCCCCCAATGAATACCGTACATGAAACATCCATTACAAACCCGCTCGCCGCACCGCTAAGCGAGGGTAAGCTACGGGCTACAATTCACTGCGCTGTATATCATCTACGCTTCTACGGCTCTAACCAGGATACCTTTACATCTCTAAACGCGGCACCGCCCCCTTCCAGCAGTAACCAAGTACGGCAAACAACAGCTATGCACCGCCCTGATTCCAGGTACGCCCTGAAAATGTCCCCTCTTTGCCGGTCCCATGGGCCCCGTAATCCGTTCATAACGACCTATCATCGATAACCTAGCAGCGGCTAACCAACTATCTGTGACTAAACCTGCTGTGAAAGCGCCTTCCACCACAACTAAACAGGGTCATTCTGGATTCTGCGGATCAATGAGTATCCCATTCACATATCTATCCGGTTTCGGCCTCCTCTCCTCGTCTCTTTGTTGGCTCGGCCAATGCGTACGGACACGACTTCCATCTCTCTCCACTTCCATGGCGCTAGCCGCTACCACTACTGCTGCCGCTGCTGAGTCGGCATCGAAGCCAAGATTGCTATCACGCGCAGCGGCTGCGCCCTATCGCGCTGCTGCTGCCATTCCTACTACTGCCGCTGCCATTCCTACTACTGCCGCTGCCATTCCTATCATGCTGCTGCTGCCCCGGTGGGGTTCCTGGGCGGTCCTAAGCGGGCCTTGTGCGCTGACCGGGCGTCTTCACGACCTGGGGGAGGGCGGCAAGATGAGGGATAAAGCTGAGGAAGCGTTGAAGTTTGGGGGTTGGCTACATGGGATTAGGGCTTGGTGGCATTCTGCCAGCCTGTTCGGGCCCCTTCCTCACCCTATGTGCTCAACGCTTGACCCTGTAGCGTCCTGCCCTAACACGGCTAGGCTGGCAACCCGCACTGAGCATCCATACCTTCCCCACCTGCACCATACACCCACCTCCTTCTCCGGCTCGTAGCGGTACACGGTGTTGCCTGCCCGCTTGGCGTCCGTCTTGACGAACTCCGGGTACCTGCCGGAAAGGGGGGGGCAGTGCGTGTGTCTTATGCGCGCTCGTGATGTTACTTCGAGGCGGATGCCGCAGATGGCAAGGCTGCTCCTTTCAAGTTCCAACCAGCTTCACTCCCTCGCCCTTTCATCATATGCAAGCGCCACAACCTTACAAGGTCCCTCCTCCACATCCCCTGCTGAACATGCTAGACCGCTGCGCCGCCGGTGCGCAGCTCCAAACGCTCCCTTACCCCACCTTCCCCACATCTTCCATCCCCTGCCCAACCGTAAACCCACTCAAAAAGGAGCCAACCCACCCCTCCCAACTCCCATTTGTCACCAACAACTCACCGCCCCGCTGCGGAACGTAGGTCTCGCCACCAGATGGGGGTGGTGGGGGCACTGGGGTTGGGCCTGCGGTGTTCCCAGGAGCAGACGGAGGGAGCAATTAAGAGGGCAACGTCAGTTCATCTGCCCGGACGGTGGTGGGGAGGGACCGTCCGTGATGAACGACAGACGGGTGCCCCAAGCGCGCGTGTCAGGTGCCCTGACCGGGTTCGTACGCATAGAACAAGACAGGTATCCTGCCATCCTCCTGCCCGGGCAAGCACCGCTCACCTCATGTCCAGCCTGCTTGAGATGTTGGGATCCGCCTCCAGCACCGCCGCCACCTCGCGCATGGTGCCCTGTGCACGCGAGCCCGGGGGGCAGCATGAGAGAGCAAGAATGCCGTTTGTTCTTCTTTTATTTTTATTCGTTTTATTTTAGATTATACCCACCGCCTCGCTTTTTTCACTGTTGTTTTCTTAACGGCGCTAGTTCTTATATTTTCTCACATTATAAGTGCAGTGTATGAGCAAAGTGTGCATGTGATTGGACGAGAGCGAGGCAGCACAGACATGGAAACCCATGGCAACCTGCCACCCCTCCTCCCACCCCACCCTCCACCTCACCTCGTGGTTGGGCATCGTCAGCAGGGCGCGTCGTATCCAGCTCTGTCGCGGTGTATGGCAGGCATGTACGGCAGAGGGGTTACGACAGAGAGGTTTTACGGCAAAGTATGTACGGCAGAAGGCATAAGCAGGGGGTCGGGCACGCCGCAGCGGCTGCAGCGGCTTCCGTACGCGGGTTTAGCAAGGTGGGTAGGCAGGTGGCAAGATAGCAGGTAGATAAGCGCACTCGGGCTGTTTGCAGGATAGGGAATTCGCAGGGATCTTAGCCTACCACACAGGTGCGCCTAGCAAGCAGAACAGTGCCTCTGCCACCTGTAACGTTCCCCACACCATGCCTACCCCCCCCACCCCTGTCCCTTTTTTTACCCCATCCCTGTTAGTTTCTTCCTCATTATCCCACGCACCTGGTAGTCGTAGGTGCCTGAAGCCGCCCTGCGCTTCTCTGCATGACAAGCGGAGCGAAGAGACGAAAAGGGAGGAGTCGGGGGCTTCAGGAATCAAGTACTGCTGGCATCCCGTGCACCCACCCCAACCTCCTCACGCCATCATCCTCCGGTATACTACGGTCAGGGTCAGTGTTTCCGCGGCTCAGTTTACCTAACCCCCGCACCCCTGCCAACCTCTCACCCCAACCCAGGCTCCCCGACCAAGCCTCGCCACCCTGTGTCACTATATGTTTTCACCCTCCTCCCCGCACCTGCCCACTCCGGCCTCCGCTCCGTCCGCTTGGCATCGCCCTTCCGCTCCTTCTCCGGCTCGTAGCGGTACACGGCGTGGCCTGCCCGCTTGGCGTCCGTCCTGATGAACTCCGGGTACCTGCCGGGAGGGGGCGGGGGGGTCAAAGACCATACCGAACCATAGGAAACCACAGGTTAGGGCAAAGCAATGGGGGTAGGAGGCGAAAGGGGGGGGGCAGTGCATGAACACCGTCACATACGGAACGCCGAATGCCATGTGCGCCACACCATGTGCCAGGAGTCGTCTTGATGGGGCCACCCGGGGACAACCCGGGCGCCACCCGGAAGCCGCACTTCTTGTTGCTGCACTTCTTGTTGCTGTGAAAATGGCGTGCGCTCAATCAACGTGCCCTTTCCCTGGAACCTGTCACACGACCTCCCCACCTCGCTACCCAACAAACCAACACCAGCAGTTCCAACCCCCGGAAGGCCAAACCGGTGCGCCAACCCGCGCCCACCTCCCCTCCCCTTCCCCCTTTGTGTGCTGCTTCTAACCCAATAAGTTTGACTATGCGCAATTGTAAAATCCAGCCTAATGCGGAACCTTCATCCGTATTAACCCCGTCCCCCTCCCCCGTCCCGCTGCTTCGTCAGTGTCTCCCCTTGATTCTTTCCTAGTTCCGCTCTTCTTACCCGCCAGCACCCATCTCCTGGATTCACAGCCCCCCCCATGCGTCACCAGCAAATCACCTCATCACCGCGCACCGCAGATTCAGCCACCATATGGGGGTGTTGGGGCACTTCGGGTTGGGCCTGCGCGGTTCTCAGGGGCAGACGGAGGGGATTCAGGAGCGTGAGGGTTAACACTACTCGGCACAAGCGCTTAGCCTTTCTGGCTACAAAACATGTTGCTGTGACTTCGGTTGCAGGGGAGCATATCCGCCCCGACTAACTGGGTGGATAACTTTGCTGAGGTTGGCTGAGGTTCCTAAACAGGACAGCTGAGGACGCCCACCTCTTGTCCAGCTTGCATGAGATGTTGGGATCCGCCTCCAGCGCCGCCGCCACCTCGCGCATGGTGCCCTGCGCAGGGGAGGTGAAAAAAGTGATCAGGTCAGGCTTCTCAAGGACCGCGGGAAGAAGAGCGCCTGATGTGTGGGTGTCAGTACGACAACGCACAGAGATAGACCGCAGACAGAGCACTCGGCGACAAAAGGTTACCACGCGGCCGCACGCTGCAGCGGGGCTCCCCGAGTGGTAGCTGCAGAAGCAAAGAGGCACGAGCAACAAACACACCCTCCACCTCACCTCGTGGTTGGGCATCGCCAGCAGGGCGCGCCGCACCCAGCTCTGGAAAGCAAAGAATATACGATGTACAACGTACAAGGGGTGTGTTAAAATAACTGGCCGCGAGGCGAAACGTACTGTGATTGCCGAAAGATGGAGTCCTCCCACCGAAAACGCCACAAGGGGTGTGTTAAAATAACTGGCCAAGGGGTGTGTACGGGTATTAGTACAAGCGCAGCAAAGGGTGTGTGGTATGGTCTAATCCCCCCTCCCAAAACACACAACCGACTATCGGCCAGTTTTCTTAACACACACACACACACAACCTCCTGCCCACCTGGAAATCGTAGGTCCCCCTGACGGTTCTGCTGGTGTTGACTGCCCGGCATGTTGGGGTGGGGAGGGGAGAGGCATGTTGGGGTGGGGAGGGGAGAGGAAAAGAAGAATACCAGATGTGTGTCGATTGTGGGGAGTGGGGAGAAGAGGAGTAGAAAGGTGGCGGAGGGTGTCCGCTGCCACTGCCTGCACCCTGGCCCAGGTGTCTAACTAGGGTATCCTGGCCTGCTATTGGCCTATGCGGGAGCCTGTGATGAGGGAGCCTGTGAGGTCCCTCTTACCTACCTCCTCGGCCCACCCCCAGAGCCGTTGTCAGCCCAGTTCGTCCTCTTCACCCATACGTTAACCTCCCTCACGCCACCCCCCCGTGCATGATGACGCCTTATCACACGGTTGGCTAGTCGTTTCCCCTTTACCCACCCTGCGTGGGGTCCTCCCCCCGCGCCATCTTGCTCCTCATCAAATGCAGCTTGGCAGTCAGCGTCTGCTGCAGCCGCCGACCCGGGTCGGGAATATGGGACAGGCCTGGGGAGGAAGGAGAGGAAACAAAAGTAAATGAGAAGTGCAGCACAGCCCCATGTCCGGACGCATGACTGGGGGGTAGGTAGGGAGCGAGGGAGCGAAGGAGAATGGTGGGGGATGGGGCGGGAGACCTACGGGAGGGGCGAGGGGAGCTACGGGGGGGTGGTGAGGGGCAGCGGAGGTCCTAGGCTTCGAAACACACACACGCACACGCACGCATGCCGGAGCTGCCGACCACCGCTTGCGTGCTTGCTTGCGGGTGCTGCCTGGAGCTCCTCAGCAGCGGTAAGCCGCCACCAACGCGCATCTGTGCTCATAGTGCACACTCTGGAGCTGTTCCCCGGCGATATGCCCCAGGCAGGCGTAGCCACTCAAACCCTGGTAGGCACAGGAGGAGGTCCCTGGTAGACACATGAGGGAAACCCCACTACACCGCAGCAGCAGGGTTTGGAACGGTGTGGGGGCAGCCCGGTCCTCCACAAAGGCAGGGTGTGTGCGCAGGCTGGCAGGCAGCTGCCGGCCCCCTCCACCCCACCCTCTCACCCCCCATAACCCCCCACCCACCCAGCTGCTCCATGGCGGGTTTGATGCGGAGGGTGCTGTTGGGGGACAGGCTGGCCAGGTAGTCCGCAAGCACCTGGGGAATAGGGGCGGGGGAGGGGAAACAGCTAGCCATTGTGTGACAAGATGCCATCGTGGCGGGCTGGGGAGGGATCGAGGTGGTAGGGGAATTCAACTAGCGTGGGTGTCACGAGCGCATAAGAATAGAAACGAGGTCTAGAAGCACTGCCTGGCCGTCGGCGCTCAGGAGTGGGGGAAAGAAGGAGGGACCAAACTGCGGGAGTGAGTCGTGTGGCAGCTGGCAGCAGCCAGGGAAGCAAGCCTGGCTGAACAGCAGCTCTAGGAAACCTCTTCTGGGCTTGCTCAGGAAGCCTTGCTAGCCCGCTTAGCCTTGTTGGGGCCTGACCTTGGTGTCTTCGGGCCGCCAGCTGATGAAGCTGTCCCGCTCGATTGCCGCAGCTAGGTAGTCGGCCATGGACTGCCCGCCAGACGCTGCTTCTGCTGCTTGCTCATTCGCCTTGGGTAAAGCTGCTAGGCGCTGCAGCACTGGCGCAGCCCGCTTCGCGTTCTCCAGCACGACCTCAATAGCGAGCGCAACGACTTTGGATAACACGCTGTTGGGGTCATGCGGCCGCTCGGCAAGCGTGGTCGCGCCAAGGGAGGTCCCATCGGGCTTTGCAGGGGCCTCTTTAAGCCCACCAGTCGAATCCGCGCGCCGCTTTTTGTTGCTGGTTTTCACTTCATGCTTATCTGAAGTCCGTCGCCGCTTGGAGGGCCGAGCATCCTCACTTTGGGGTTCACCTTTCCGCCGAGCCTTCCGAGATTTCTTTGACATCCTGTCCTCGTAGCTTGTAAAAGGTCTTAGGCAAACACAATGACCATTCTCGCTAGGGAGATGGCTTCTGTCGTCCAGATGAATGGGAGCGATTGTAAGCGAGCGTGTACACCTTAGAAAAGTAAGAATAGGATACCTATCTGAGGCTGTGGTTACACAGGCCCAGTAAGCATAGGATTACTTGCCCGCCCTGTGACCGGTAACGGTAACCGTACCTGAACGCACCGCACACATATAACGAAAGCTGATGCGTCCGGATCTGCATTAGGGACAGCTTAGTAAACATGGGAAATGTTTGCTGGCTGGCAACACGTCATCAAAGCAGCTGAAGTTCCTAGCTTCTACACTTTACTGCCACTGAACCCGCCTCATCGCGTGCCACTCAAGGTGCCATTACAGGCGCCCAAAAGCGGTACAAGGATTTTAGGAACGTGGCGTTAGGGCGTCCGTTGGTGCAGGCAATAGCAATGGCTTGGCCGTCGACTCATGTTGGCTCGCCTTGCCTCCAATAGTTATACACCACCTTCATACTGCTTCCGTTTGCCCTCGTAGGTATGCGTGCGAAGCTGGTAAGGGTGTCGGGAGGAGCTGAATTTAATTGGCCTGCTTTTACTGCAGCAGCTGACGATACGGCCCCAGTTAGCAGTGTGTACCGCCCCTCACCAGGACGGCAGGACGTGCAGGTGGGAGGGCCAGGTTTGGGATTATTACAGTCGGATTGAAGGGGTTAATCGAGGGTGGAGTGTTGAGCCTGATTGGCGAGGGGTGCAGGGGAGCAGCTGGTTATGGAATACCGGTACCCCAAAATACTGCACAACTCCCCAGAGTGTCCCTGTTGTGATGCTGTATACCCGTACTGCCGTACCGTACCTCTCGAAACTCTGTACCCGTTGCACATGTTGTACGGTGTATCCTGCTGCAGCCACACAGTTGTCGGCGCCTACTTTACCTCAGCATTGCTCTTTTCTCCTGTGCCATCCCATGCCTTCAGACAGCGCGGGCTGCCCTGGCGCTGTGCAGTGCGGCCGAGCGACCCACGGTTCAGCAGGAAAGTTGACGTGAACTAGGCGCCTCACCCCCCACCTTCTGCCTCATCACGATCCCGCCGGGTGGACGTATGCTCGCCCCAGGTAGGACAGCCGCCGTCGCACAGCCATGCACGCAGCTCCGCATTGCCTGATCGATGCTGATGAGCGGCAGCAGGCAGTCCCCAGGCGTGTTGGCATTGGAGTGCATCGCTGCTCCCCGTTTCTCCCCAGCAGCTGTGCCATCATGCATCCAAGCAGGTGCGTGCCCACATATATGCACATAATGAAGACGTGCATAGCCGTCTCTTACAGTCGTGTTACCTCAGGTAACACCCGAATGAAGTAGGCCAACCAACCGCCGCCTAATCATTGTGAATAATTGTACATAGCTAGAGCGTCCGTTGCAAAAACAACCGTTGCATAACCGCTCGTTAATTTTTTTATGACAGTTTTTGCTAACCCGCCTCCCTTGTCAACGCCCCCTTTATTGAATTAGTGGCCGGCAGTGAAGACAGTCTTACTTTGTTGCACCACAAATTCCATACGCAAGGAAAGGGGAATACAGCACTCAACAGCCATAGAAATACCGGCCCGTAGAGGGTGGGCGGGTGGATAGATACGGTAGAATCCACATCCCGGCAGAGGGACACACGGACCAGTTCTTCTAAACATACGGACTTGATTTACACGACAGCACTTAACCAAACAATGCGCTCAGAGCCGGAAAGAGGCTGAGCCGCCTACCGCTGTACGACACCAGTGTTACATGGCACGTGCGCAGGAACCCGCTTCCACATTCCTGGCTTTATTGATAAAAAACAAGCCTTTTTAGCACGAAACGTCAGCACATAACGACCGGGTTGCACTCCACAGCAGTGGCCGCACGCACCTGGACACCCTCTCTTTCGGCCTCACACCCTCAGGTGTCCGTACCGCTGTACAATACAGCTGCTGCCTTAGAGAGCTGTAGCAAGTGGTGTATTGGCTGCACAGCATAGGGTCAATCACAGCACCCTGAAAACACATGAGTAATGCTTAGCTGCATCGAGGATCGCAACAGGCCCTCAAACGCCAGCACCGTACGACAGCACTATAAAAGATCTTGAGACAACACACGGTTAGACACTAGGCGGCCACAGCTGCGCACGGTTTGGTAAGGAGGGCACAACACAGCCTTGCTTCCAGCGTCTAGACGCCCAGCGCGAGTCAAAACAAAACTCCCCTTAGGGCCACTAGGTTCCCTGACCTCGGGCACTGTCCGTTATGGGACAGGTCTATATATGAATCAACTGTGTGGTGGGTCCACCATACATACAGGTGGTACGCGATTTTCTGGGCACACTTGCGCGTAGCAGCAGATAGGGGCCCGATAAAAGACCATCAGTTCACACATGGACATTTTCACACGCCATCTGCCATACGGAATAACTTCAAACAACCTCAACAGGACGATTAAAGGGTCAGTCGGCGTCAACAGTAGGTTCACATCGACAGTGTACCGCAGGTTAAGGATAGATAGGTCCCCCGCCGCCAAGGATAATCGTAGCCGTGTGGTGGGCACAGAAGCACAGGCACCACGTCCTCATGCTTCAGTGGACTTGTACTCGTCCTGCTGGTTTACTAGCGGCTGCCGGGGTGGACAGTATCATGTACACACTAGCAGCATGAACAACTGGAAAAGAGATGGACGCCAGACACCCCTAGCAAGCATAGGGGTCCCCGAGCTCCACCCACACTTTGACATACATACGCGTTTACAATCTAAAGCAACGGACTTCGTGTTAACGGAACCAGCATACTATAGGCTTACGGCCTGCTCACTCAAATTCAAGGCCAATCCTGCTCACATCCGGCACCAGTTGAACACCCTTGGGCGGAACACCGTTGCAAAGGCCATCACTCCCGGCGGCACCCCCAGCCCAGCAAGTCGTTTTGCCTGCTTAAGCAGCAAAGCGTTGGCGCCCCTGGACCCATGTCCAGATAACAAACTTACCCGATGTTTCCTTAACTAATTCCAGACACTCGCCGGCCATGCAGCCGACCTGAAATAGGGCGATACTACGAGAAGCGCTCAGCTTCTGACCACTCCCACCCGTCGCCGTTGCATACAACTCCCTTTACAATTGCACGAAAACAGAAACCTCATCACACACAGTGTCCACTAGGATAGACGTGAAGGCGTCGTACGGAGGAAGAAGACATAACATGGCCCCAACCTATCCTCTCAAGGATACTAGACACGCGAAGACTAGAGGAGGCACGTCCCTTGGATGGACGCAATACTGGTTTAGGATATCATCACACCATTCCAGCACAACAGAACCACACAACATGGGAAGACCCCAACCAGTTTTCCACCTGTGTTTCCCTTCGGCACCCCCACCAGTTCCCCCAGTATTTGCTCCGGCCACGTACTTTAGCTTCCGCAAGCACTTCGAATACATAGCTTTCAAACGCATATCACTAATATAACCAAATGCAAACCCCGTAGAAGACTGTTAGGGTGCCACAATAATAGGCTACATCCAAAGCCAGCACACCACCGGGGACAGAAGCGGGGACAGAAGCGCAGCCCCCACATCCTCATACGGGCCCTGCGTGCCATACTAGAGGACTTGTACTAGTCCTGAACAATTAGCGGTCACAAGAATGGGCAGCATTAGCCGCGCACTAGCACAAAACGTTAAGAAACTGGATGCCAGATACCTATACCCACCTTCTGGTCCTCGCGTCTGCTATTTAAGCAACGGGACTTACTAGTAAGCAACTTATCCCAACCAGGATTCTATCATGCCCACAGCCTGCTCGCTGCAATCATATTAAGTCCTGCCTACTTCTAACACCCATTGGACGCCCCTAGGCGGCACACCGCAAGACCGCTAGCTACCCGCAGCACCGACACCAACACAAAGGCCGCTACCCGCCAACACATAAAGGCCGCTACAACCAGCACCGCCACCAACGTCTAGCAAGTAAGTCTTGCCTGCTTAGGCTGCAAGCGTTTGCCGCCCCTGGTTACAAGGCGACGTCAAAACCTTGTCCCCTGTTCCAATAGCTAGTCCCGCCGAGCTGCGGGCCATGTATGCAGGCAAGTACTACGAGAAACGCTGGCCTTCGTTCCTGCCATACCAGCTTGCCGCCGTCCGACACACACACATACCTCCATTGTTGCACTGCAGCAAGAAGCGACACACTCAGTGTCCACTCCGAAAGACGTAAAGACGTGCTGGGGAAGGTATATCAGGGCCCCAACCCATTAACCCACGAAAACGAGGCCCGCTAATAAGCCTTGAGGAAGGCCTCAATCCGTTGGTTGCTGCAGGACACGGCCCGCATGAGTGCAGGTCATGTAAACACTCTAGCCCCACCCCTCCAGTGCACCTACCAGTTTTTCCAGTACTTCTAAGAGTTCCTTCAGCACTCCTAACCGTTCTTCCAGTACTCCTCCAGTCTTTTTGCTAGTATACAGTGTCAGCGCTAGTGATAACCCTATCTTCCCCGGCATTCATGCACGCACCAAGATGATCAGGCAGCAGCAGTCGCTCACATGGTCACCATACCCACCCGCTTGGACTGAAGCACTGCGGCCACAGCACCATCGGAGACCCAAGCAGGCCCAACTTGCCATAACGATCCTTCCAGACGGCGATCCCAAGCCCGCGCCCCATGTACCCGAACCGGCCCGTAAGCACGCAGAGCAACGGGGTGGCAGCCTTTGCCCAGCACGACATGCACAATACACAAGCTATGAGCACAGCCCAGCAGGGGCCCACCTAACTTTCTGTGCCTCAAACTCCGTCACCCTGTGTTGGCGGCACCAACATCACCGGGTCGAGGTTGTTGCTGCTGGGCCTCACTTGCTTGCTTCAGCGGCCACCGGGAGTCTGGCCAGTATCTCAGCCGTTGCTGCCGCTGTGTTGCGCATTTCCTGTCGCATGGAATCCAGCTCGGAGCGAATGTCGCGGAACTGGCTGTCTTGGCGCTCCTGGAGCTCACGCACGTCACGCAGCTCGTGCTTCATGATCTGTGTTTGGGTAGGCGTTGGCCAACATGAGAGGCATTGTGGCGATGGTTCGGAGTCATGTCAAAGATCGATAGGAGAGGACGCCGCAGGTGAATACGGAGATACAGGTAGCGATAGGAGGAGCGAGGCGAACACGGGCAAGGTAGGCTCTCTGGCAGGCACCAAGAGCCTTCATGAAGTGCTGCGTGAGCCCCTTGCGCCCCCCATCACTCGTCATGGGGGTTCCCGGGTTCCTGGACGTGGGGGAGTCAACTACCACACGCACCTCTGAGAACGCGTGCATGCGGCCCTTCCAGTCGCCCTGCACAGTTTCTGAGCTGTCCATAAACTTCTCGAACGAATCGTCCGACCGCAGCAGCACGTGCAGGTAGTCGCCCAGCAGCTGCTTCTGTGGGAAGCAACAGGGAGGGGACAGCGGGAAAAGGCACCGCAGCTATTAAACCTTATGTTCCCTCCCAAGGGTGCAGGCGCTCTCTAAAAGGGAAAGACGAGAAAATGAACTATAATGGCTTGGCATATTAAATCCTGAACTTGGGGGGGGGGGGGCAAAATAAACCAAACGACCAGGAAACCACGAATTAGGTCAAAGCAATGGCATTGTGACGGGGCCATGAATGGGCAGGGAAAGGACCAGAATTTCCCAGTAAAGACCGCAAGCAGCACTTCTGAAGTTTCAGCAGCCGCTTCAGAGGACAATTCAAAAAGGTCAAGGCGGGGGACAGTTATTAGGGGTGCACATGGGGTTCCATCGCTGTAACCACTAACATCTACATACAGAAGCCGCCCCTGGCAGCATCAGGGTACAGGGAAGTCGCCAGCAGGGAAGAAGGATGCCCGAAAGAAGCGGCATGCAATTCAAGGTAGTGAGACGGCATTGTGGTCGCATCACGCTGAGCGGCGGTGGACCACACAGAGCCACCTGCCACGCAAACATGCATGCGACTTGTGGCCACCACGTAGCTGCCGTCTCGCCATTGTGCCCACCGTGTAGCCAACCCCATGCGCAACACCGCAAACGTATGATGTTCCGGAATGCCTGTTCAGCTTCTCTCCTGAACACCACTTCTTTCACATCTTCCAGGAGTAGTACTCTTGCTGGCGCTGTTGCTCGCTATGGTACAGCCCCCTTTGCTGATCGGCCGTTAATCATTAACAAACCCGCACACCATGGTGCCAATTTAAGTAAATAAATTACCCTGCCCACGCCATACATGCAGCTGTGATTCAGGCATGCTGTGCTTTCACCTCATCCGCACCTGCACCTTGACACGCATCTTCATTGCATTCCGTCCCATTCGCACCTGCAGCTTGTTGCGCATATCCTGTGTAAGCAGCGACTCCTGTTCCACAATAAGGCGCGCACGGTTGTGTAGCACCTCAACCTCTTCCGTCTCCTTGATCCGGTCGAAAGTGTCGTTCATGATGGCGATCAGCAGGTTCACTAACACGATCTGCATTAAGATGCCGTACACGCTCATCAACAGCACGCTCAGCCGGGAGGCGTACCTGCGAGGCAGCGGCAACAGCCGAATCACCTACTGCTCATCCCAGCATTGGGCTTGGAAACAGCGGTGAACAGGCTCAGGTTGAAAGTTACATGATGTACGTGCGTACAGCATGAAAAACAGTAAAAGCTGTAGCAGTCCAGTAAGAGGCCCTCGACCTCTCGTATGTACCGGTACCCTTGCTTGCAACCCAAACCTCTCGCGAGCAACCCTCCTAACATCAAATAAACCCCAGCACACACCAGTTGTACTCATGGTCCTCATCATGAATCATGTCGTACAGGTAGTCGTAATCCCAGTCGCCCAGCATCACACTGAACAGCTTGAACGCGACTTTCTCGTAGCTGTTGGTGTGTGTTGGTGTGTCGTTGCGGCCCTGCCAGGGTGTACAGACAAGTAAGTAGGGGAACGGAGGAGATTACTAAGGCGGGGAGAGCGAAGCGAAGGGGAAAGCGGTTAGAGAGGAAGAGGAGCAGAAACGAGCGGAGCAGAGGGGGTGCACGCAAGGACCAGACCGAAGCGACCTCAGGGCCTGTCCGTATGTTGTGCGCCCGCGCGTCGGAATGCATGCATTGGCTGGGCTGGTGCGTCTGGGTTGGCCACATGAACTGTCTGCACTTGGCGTGGGGGTAATTGTATCGTTCAGACCGTTCATGCTGGTGTTCGTTGAAGTGTTTAACAGCAGGCAATGAATGGGTGGTTGGAAAAGGAACTTGAGGGTTCGGGTGCAACAACAAATCGACCTAGCATACTTCTGCCCCGTTTTGGTGTGGCCTAGAAAGTTATCTACTGTACAGGCCACAAGAGTGCGTGTTTGCTCCAACAATTGTCAGTGCAGGTTTTGCAGTGATCGCGTGCTTGACTGTAATAGCCTTTGCTGCTTTACAAAGAGCATCAACTTTAGCCCTACGGCTTCGGCCGATACTTTCTTCTGAGGTACAAAGCCAAGTGTTTCGGGGTAACTTGCCAGGTGTTTTTTACGGCCGCAGTATAGTGCTAACGCAGCTTTACTACTATGCCCTAGTTCATTTAATAAGTCAATGTCTGGCATCTATCACAAGGGGAGGTTGGTCTCGGAGAAAAGGTGCATGCAAGTTAAGAGCTGGCTGTGCAACGTGATGCCAGATGGAAACCAGCAGTTCCGCGCGCAGGACAACCAGTATACGGCACAGTCTTACCAGCAACACGTAGAATGCGATAGCAAAGCCGCCGAACAACATCCCGAGCATGATGAAGAAATGTTTCATGTCCTTGATGATCGAGACAACCATGCGCACCAAACCGCCCATGGAGTCGGTCATGGAGGCGAAGAACACCAGTCGGATGAACAGCAACAGCATCTCAACCGCTCCAACTGCCAGGATGACGTCGTACCGGTACGACGCGCACACCATGCCGAGAAGTACGAAAACGAGCGCGAAGGAGATGAAGTCCACTATATTGCCCAGGTAGTTGCCCCAGGTGCGTAGTGTTAGCTGCATGACCTGTTCAATGTACAGCGTGAAGAAATGTACGACATATGTACGCGGCAAAGATGTAGGGTTACATCCTTACATGTGATTAAGGAAATGCGTTGGCATTGGTAGCAGCATCCCAGCCATCATCCAGGTGCCCTTTCCGCCAACGACTTCATCAGGTAACAACAGCAGCATCCCGACCGTGCCCACCCCCACCTGCAACACCTCCTCCAGCAGTCCTCCGAAGCTCATGAGCCCCAACACGATCAGCAGAGCCACCACCTCCGGCCGCTTGCGGATCTGGGGGCCCAAGCGCATGGTGCGGAAATATCGAAAAGTTACGTAAAGCGTGCATCAGCTCGCACTTAGGCCCGGCTAGAGCTCCGGGAAAGGGCTGCTTTTGTAGGTTGTGATTCTGGGGTTGCTGGGGATGCCAGTAAGGTGAGTGTTAACAAAACCGGCCGGGATCGGGACATACTGGTAATGTAATAGTGTGATGTGTGGATGTACGCGGGTGTAAGGCACATTGCAGCCAAAACGGTTGGATATTGGGAGGTTGGCTGGGGTAATAACGAGGCAGGCGCACAGAAATGTTTGGCGGGTTGGGTTGGGGGTGGCAACAACGTCTGGGTGCCCCCTAGGGCTTTGAGCCCATCATCGCCGCCTGCGCTCCTTCCTGAGTCCTTGCAACGAGACAGATCACCCTAGACCCCCAGATCCCTCCTATTATAACGCTCGCCACGCTACCGCTACCGCCAACAAGTCGCTCCCCGCACCTTGTCCATCTGGCCCCCCTCCTCGTCCCCCGCATGCCGCAGCGCCAGCAGGAATCCGCCGTGCAGCGCCATGAAAATGAGGTGGGTGAGTGCTGACACCAGCGTCAGCATCTGACCATACTCCTCTGCATGCGCGTGGGAGGAATGGGAGACACGGGCAGGAAGCCAAAAAGACATTGGGGTGAAATGGTCAAAATGAGGGAACGATGGAACGTAACGGAATGCACAATATGATGCGAAGCCAGCATAACCGCTTGCATAACAGCTTGCATAGTATTGTCGGATTGGGCAAAGATCTTACGCCATAGCATGCCATGTCACACCCACATCCCAAGACACCACTTTGTAAGACACCGCCTACTGCGACATGCCGTATTAAGAGGGCGATGGGCGCCTTGGCCTACCGGTATAACATGGATCCATGTTACCCAGCCACGCCATACCCCACTCACGCCACTGCACGGTGACTACTGCCTTGACCACGGCGAGTCCAAACCAGCGCGACGGCACGTCCGCGTCCACCAGCGCCGTCAGGATGCCGCCAATGTTCGCTATACCCTTCCAGGGAATCACCTGACATAGCCACATGCGAGAAGAACAAGAGACGACCCAGACAAGGAGTTAGGGCTGAGATTGTAAGTGAAACCGAGAAGCAATAAGGAAGCCACCGGGAAAGCCAATAACGGCTACGATCGCAATACAGTGGCGCTTCCAATGCATGTACAGGTATACGTTTAAGCCGCCCCATAACCATAACCTCACAGAGGAGGCTTCCACGATACCCACCAGCGCTCGTGCATCCATGGCCGGCACGCCTTTTGGCCTACACCAGTTAGCTCCAAGGCGAAGAAAACTGGACACGAAGATGCTGCGCAGTCCCCTTTCCACCCATGCAGTACACAGGCGGAGCCGATGCATGTGCAACAGCATCCTCTCCCTCACGTCCCATAGGAGGTCCAGCAGGAGGTCCAGCAGGAGGTCCAAGGCAACCCTAAAGAAGAGCCACACGCGCTCGAATTGGAGCAGGAGGTGCATGAGGAAGAAGACAGGCCAGCGGTGCAGCAGGACGGGCTGACACACGAAGGCACTGCGGCCAGGATATGATGAGGGAGAGGTGAATGGAGGTCGCGGGTCAGGATTGAGGGCAAAGCAAGGGAGCAAGGAAGGGGCAGAGGAAGCAAGGGTGCAGGGGGAATAAATGAGGGGATGAGCACCAAGGCGGGAAAGACAAAGGGCTCTACAAGTAGGAACGGATGCCGACCTCTGAAATGACGAGGCATCCATACCTTTATGGCCGAGCTGACACCCCTTTCTGCAAATACGACATCCCTTGTTGGAGAAGCTCTGTCCAGAAAGCTAACACCCGTTGGTTGGAAAGCGGACACCCCTTGCTTGTTACGGTCTTGGAAGCTGGCACCACTTGTCTAACAACACCATATTCATTGCTTAAAGCGGTTGAGGCGGACGCCTGGAAGCGTGTGGAAGGTGACACCCCTTGTTTTCCATTGGACCAAGGTGTCTGTCACCTTTGTTGCAACGTTCTATCTATGTCATACGTGTACAATAAAGGGTACTAGGACGGCAAACAAAGTGTACCTACCCCCTTGTCTTCCCCTCATGTTCCTGTTCTTCTCCCTCACCTTATCCCCGTGCACCTACCTTCGCCTTCAACCTCTTCCTCTATCTCCCCTCCCACCCGCTTCGCCCCATTTTTGTCCTCCTCTGCCCCCCTGCCGTACATCATCCACCCCTTGCCATATAATACTTTTTGTCTCATTGCTTTTATATCCCCACTCGCCTTGCCTTTTCCTTATTGCTTCAGATTCATTCCCTCTTACAGGTGACATACAACACCTACTCGTCACCAAGGCCCCTTCGCATTTACCACATACTCAAAACGCATTCCTTGTTTACCTCCCTAGCTACCCTTGCTTCCTTTCTTTTCCAACTTCATCCTGACTTCTTTTGCTTTTCCCTGTCGCACGCCTTGACTATTCCGTGGTGGCTTCCATGGCGCGCGGCTTCCATGGTGCTCACTCTCCCCCCAACCCCACCTGAGTACCAGCCGCTGCTTCTGGACCCGCCGCTTTTGGTCCCGAAGCCTAATCAGTGTCAAGTAGGCCTCCTCATTCCGCTTATCAATGTACACCTGCTTGTCCTTCAGCTTGTTGTTGTACGCCCACTTGAGTGCCGTACACAGCGGGTATTTATGGGAGAATTCGGTGTCGATGAACTGGGTGTTCGGGAAATGGAGGGGAAGGCATTATGTTGAAAGACATTAAGAGCCAGGCGACTCAGGGCAGGACGAAAGGAAAGGCGGGATAAAGACGTATGCCGTATCTCTAGCTATGGGTGCAACGGGCGGCGGGAGGACGAGGGCAATGCCAAAATATTGGGCATGTCCTGTGCGGACCGTTGCATGCAATTCCTTACACCCCGGCCCGGAATGTGGGCTCCGAGCATGCTCGCATAGGATAACACCCGTAATATTGGGCTCTGAGCATGTTCGAAAAGAACTTCGCTTCCTAATAGGATGCTCGAGTAGGTATATTATTTGTCCAATCCAGAATCCCGGGCTTTATTGCGAGAATGCTCAGAGCCCACAATCCGGGCGAGGACCTTACTGCCGAGCCCACAATAAAGGTCCCCCCCAAAGAGCATGAATATATAGGGTGCATGATCAAAGCGTTCAGCCGAAACTGGCTTCTGTGATACCGTTACCATTTACGTTGCATGAATGGTCTACCAGCCCCTCAAAACAGCATCTTTGACCGGTTTCCATGATGATGCATGGCGGGCCCAACCAGCTAATTGTTTGGCCCTGCCACGCATGCATATGATGAACGGTAGGACGTCTGGAGATGGAACGGCCGAGTTTACGTTTTTTGGAGACCGGGGAAGCAGTACCATCGACCTTTACCTTTGCAGCCCGAGAGTCCTTACCGGTACCCACGCCCAGGAGCTGAGGGTGCTGCTGTCCGAAGTCTGTGGCCCCTCGCGATACCTTAGCGACCACTGCCCAGTAAAGCTTTCAATAGGCATCACCTTCGATCCCAGGGTGTCTCCCGTCCCATGCCCCCAAGCGAGGCGGAATATACCCCTGTTCGATATTCGCAGAAAGGGAGATTATAACGCCCTTTTCAGTACTGACGATAGCCGTGCGGCTACTGCTATTAACATGCTAGTGGATGACCTTGAGGAGGGCGTTTCATGTGATGATAGCATTGCAAATTGCTTTGCAAATTGCTTAACAGGTGTTGCTGTGATGTGTATGGCGGCCAGCAGCAAGTAGCGAGCGGTAATGCCCCGTGGTGGAATGAATAGTGTGCTGTGGCCTACGAAGCCATGATGGCGTTCAGGCGGGGAGCTGCTGGTGCCTCCGGGTCGCTACTAGGCACTGATATCACCACATTTCAGGGGCTCAGGCGGTGGTTTAGCAGGGTGCGGCGTGCTGCACGCAAATCCTATGAGCTGAGGGCAGTCGGAAAGAGGATAGCCTAATCCCGTGCTAACCCTAGGGTGTTTTCTTGATAGCCAAAGCGACCTCTGCAGTCTGCACGCTGGACGATCTGAATGCGTGGACCCAACAAATTTCAGACTTTATATATGGGGTTTATGGTAGTAGAAGGGGCATGAGCGATGAAGCACGGGCAATGCTTAATCATATCTCTCTAGGTGGCAACTGGGCTGCAGGGCGTCTTGATGAGGGTAGCTCTGACGTCCCTGAGCTGTGGCGCAAGTGTAAGGTGGCTATTAACTGGAGGGCCAGTGCCCTCTGGCTAAACGGAGATGTCCTGGAGGGGGAGGTGATCGCCGCCGTACGTAGCATGCAAAATTATAATTTGGCGGGGCTGGAACGTGTCCAGGCCGAATGCTACAGATACGCAATTAGGGAGGTGCAGGGACAGCCTACATTCAACGTCCTCAACCCCTTACCTGTGCAAGCTGTTCAATAATATTCTTGATGGCGCATACCCTTCTAAGTCCACGATCGACGAGTACCCTCATACCCGTGTTCAAGAAGATGGGTGATGCGTTTGTTTGTGGTAACTACAGGGGTATAGCAGTCGGCGGGGGCCTGTCCAAGCAAGTGCCATGCCACGGTGCTTGCTCGACGCATTAATTCTTATACAGAGCGAAATGGCCTGTGCCCAACTGCTCAGGCCGGGTGTAGAGAGAAGCATAGAGACCACCTGTTCAGCCTGCGGCATTATTCAATTAGTAGCATACATACAAGGGCTGACACTAGCCCCCTTATCATTATGCAAATTGACTTTGCCAAAGCTTTTAATTCCGTCGATCATGAATTCATGATACACTGTTTGGGCTATTCATTGAGACACTCGCGCGCTACGTCGATGCCCATGTTAGAGACCTCAGTAAGGGAGGTGGTCACGAGTGGAGCTGATGAAGGG